ATTTTGTAGAAAGGTACTGTATGCATTGCACGGCTGATTAAGGATAATTTCCATACTAATAATAGTAGTCTATCTTATAAAAATATTATATCTAGCTGTAATTTTTCAAAGTTTGAGGATAAAACACCCTCCATGATGATAATTGATCAATGGTATTTTAGAAACAGTCATACAAAACCTATAAACCAAATATTTCAATTTCTAAATAATATAACGACAAAATTATATTTTTGCTATATTATTTATTAATCCCTTACTAACATTAAGTAGTAAAAACATTTTATTCAGTTGTAATATTGAAATGTGGTGGTGAAACTCAATGAAGAAATACATTTCATATTTCCAAATAAAATCAAAGGTAGAACAATAATACAGTCCTCAATTTCAGTCCTCCCAAGCAAAGCTTGGTGCACCTAAACGCTTAAACAGTACTCTACACCAAAATGATCTTATAAAATCTTTTAAAATACTTTTAAGCTCTCTGAGTCTTCCTGTCCTGAGCTCACTGGTAAAGCTTGAAATTGGCTTTCCTAGTGTAAGCCAGCCTGCCCTTGGCTATCTTTGTCTAGAAGATTACCACACAAGATGTGTACATGAAGTGGATCTAAAAAAAGATACTAAATTTTTTTTATCTTGGAGAACAATTTCAATGTTCTTTTAAAATCAATGGATTTTAACTCAGCCCCCACAAGTCAGATAACATGGTTACCGTATATTCAGTAAAAAACACCAAAATGAGAAAAAAACAGGGGAATGACTTGACATTTGAAGAGCTTATTGTTGTCAATACAATTAAAATAATAAGAATTATTATTATTACTGTTGTTGTTTGCGAATGCAATTGCAGGATTTATCTAAGGCCACACTTTAGCAAGATAAACGTCTTCAGTAGTTCACAGTCACATGCTGTGGCCAGCACTCTCATGTTGCAGTTTCATCATCACCTGCCGGATGATGGAGGCAGTTTAAGCTCAAATTCCCCATTTACTGACAAATCTCTGCTCATCTCCAAGGATGATCTGTCATTCAGCTGGAGAGCTCACTGAAAAACTTATTTTCAATAATTTTAAACATTAGTTGTGTTCACATCTCATTTAAAAAAATACAATTTTTAAGGACACTTAAAACTAGACACTACATTTTTTCATTTTTGAATGTTTGAAACCCTTTATTTTTTGTATCATCTGCAAATGATCAAATGCTAACTGTAGCTGAATCTAAACAGTTGATATAAATAGGGACAAGCAACCAAACCTGATTTTATATTATCAGATAGCATTCCTTAAAATAAGTATATGCCTCCCGAGTACATTCCACATATTCTTTCTCACATGTCAGTTTTCCATGAAACGTGACCACTAGCCACCACTGCCTAAATGGACTGTTGCCCTCTCACCCAAGAACTAGCCCTGTTTAAACTGCACTGAACAACTTTATTCCCAGCCTTACTGATTTACTGGAAGAAGCGTGCTGTGTAAAAAAATGCTTCTAGTAATTGTGCATTTTTTTCCACTACAAAATAGATTACCTGGACATGGAGTTGGATTTTAAATAAATCCGCTCAGCATGATGTGTGTCGTTCAAGGAAAGCTGGTGATTTTTCTCCTGTGGAATAGAAGACATATGGTTTCTGATTATGACTTGCATGAATTACTGTCGAGTCTTGTACAGTACATAAGCTCCAGGATCTATTTATGGACTACCCATTCCCTGCTCAGTTTTAATTTATGGACAGTATTCAGAAACATTCTAATAACCACAATTCAGTACTGATTGTACTTCACCAGCATTGTATTTAAATTAATGAAAATGTTATTTTTTAAAAAATAGCTCACTTATGATGGGATAGATTTGTATGACAGATATAATGAGAGGGATTAAACACACAACAAATTAGTATTTGGAAACCAGTAACATAAGGTGCCATTATATATACTCTCAGTATATTTGTTATAATATATTAATAACTTAAATAAAAAAACTGGACATATAATAAGCCCAAGAACTGCTAACTAGAAGTAAAAACATACGAGAGCTTCAGTTTACCAGCCATCCTCTGAATACACGAGATTCATTATAACCTCCACAGTACATTTATACAAGATGACAGTAAATATCCAAGACCCTAAAAATTCTACTGATTAACGTGAAAAGAATTTTACACCCTTCACAAGGACCATTCATGCACATCCTAGACTCTAAACAACCAAACTAGCTGCCCCTGTTACAGCCTTAGTTTCAATAGCCCAGGGGTAAAAAGCAGTGAGGCACTCCCTTCTCACCCCCTGCAATGACAGAATTGCAGCTGGTGGTCTACAAAAGAACTGTAACTTTGGCCCAAATACATCAAGTTCTCCCACTAGGACTTCCAGACTGTCTGAGGCTATTTATCTAAAAGAGAAATATTTCTGGATCCTAAAATAAATCTGAAAAGCAAGTCAGACCATGACCACCCTACCATAACCTGGTTAATTACCAGAAAGTAAGCTTATTGTGCAATGAATTTTTAAAGTGTCCTGCTTTTCCAATACAATGCAGTTAAAATATACTGTATGAGTAGCATGTTAGTTAATGCAACCATTGTACAGAAAATACAATTTTCCCACTCCTGTAAATTATCTGCTATTTCTACATAGATCTTGTAATCCAATCAAAAGAAAAACAAATCTGAAAAGTGAATATCATGCATTACATAGGTAAAAAATACAATGCCTAGTCACAGTATATTGCTTAGGCTGTACACAGAATGTCCTGCACTTACTGTAACTCACGTAGCTATTTATGTTCATATCTAGTTTCAAAATAAGAAATGTAAGCAAATGAAGAAGAATTTTTGTTTCCACTATGCTATGTCATAAAACAAATATATTTTTAATCATTTGAACCTTGTGTACAACAGAAGAGGTTTCTTTCCTTCTAGTCATTTATTTGTACACTGCAGAAACACCTACTCTTAACACAACATGTCCAGTATATAGCCAATCAAATATACAGTATAGACAACTTTGAGTAAATGTACTTTTCAATGATATCTTTCAATGAGTCACAGAATGACATTGCTTCTGATACTTTTATTTGCTTAGATTTTTTAAAAGGCAGAATTAAGCTTTGAATGGGATTAATGGTACACGGAAAAAAAAGTATGGTTAGTAAGACCAAAACAATCTTGGTGGAATTTCAGTCAAACAGTATGATTGAAGAGTTAGCAACAGAGTTGACCTAATAAGAGTCCAGAAAAAAGGGAGTTAGTCTAAGAGAAAAAGTAGACATCACAAAACCAGACAAGCAATGTGTGAGCAGCTCATGGAAAAAAAAATTCAAACACAGAAAATGAGTTACTAGACAAGGGAGCAGAGAATTGGATAAGGCTCTGCTACTCACTGTCTGATGTTTTGCTATCACTTAAGAAGGGTTCCTGTTCCATCATGTCCATGGGAATTTTAATGCTGGGAACATTTTCAGGATATGGAAAATCGGACTGTGGAGGAAACGGGTAGAAATCTTAGAAAATAAAACGTCTGCATTCACATTGCTAGCTTGAAAATCGGGTCTTCTAATACACATTCAGGAACACAACTGTGAGAAAAAGATTAATCATCTTATAGAAGGCACTGTACTTAATCTTGTATGGCACAGAAAATGTTAAAATAGCAGAAAACAACAAAAGCCTGGAAAGAGTAGGTCTTCCTCTGCTTTTTAAATGTGTTTAACAAAATGAACACAAACACATTCTGATCTGAATGAAACAAATGTTGGTCCTGAAGATTATTTCCATTCTGGCAGAGTTGATAAAACCCCAGATGCTTATTGGAAATGTAAATAAAAGATGCTGGATTTGATTCACACAATGTACAATACGACAGGGATCTGGAGGCCTGGAGGACAGGTCTCTTCAAAGAACCAGCACCTGAAGAGCTGGAAGAAGATGTTTTTTGTCCTATGAAGTCAATAATGAATACATTTAGGAAATTAAGATCTGAATTGGAATGAAAATGTGCAGACATACAATTCTTTAGGATTCTCTTAGATTGCTTTTTTTCTGGGTACTTTTATCCCATCCCCTAAAATTGTTTTTCGTACTGTGTAAAGATGTATTTTCTAATTTAGTTATGCAGACCAAGCAATCAGTCTCCAGTGTCTTTTTTTCCAAATTCTGCCTAGTTTTAGAGGGATAATAATCCTTTCTGGTGAAACAAGCCAAACACATATTAAATCAAAGTCATAAATGGTTTCATGAGAAAACACTACACTTCATCATATGGATGCGTAACCAGTTGAACTTGTAGATCCCAGTAGGGTTTACTGTATATTGGTTTAATAACTGTCAGCCTTCTGTTAACTAAAAGAGAAAGATTTGTAATGACCTAACCTGAATTAAGTTGTTTATATTTTCAAAACGTCAACATGACATTCGGTTTGGCACAAGCCTCCAAAAATGCTTAAGCTTGAACAGTCAGAATTACTCATTCAGGAATACCCAGCTCAGCGCTAAAGTTATCTAACACAGCTTTGAAGAAAAGGCCATCCCGTAATCCATTAATCCACGGATAAGTAAAAATGTTACACCTACAAAAGCTTTTTAATCCATTTCCTTTTACATACAATGCACTGACCCCTTTAAAATAATAAATTGCTCACATCATCAAGGTCACTGTCTATGCTTCCCTTCTTCTTCTTCTTTTTCTTCTCATCCTCCTTCTTCTTCTTATCCTTTTCAGGAATCACATCATCCAGGAAGCTCAGATCATGCTGTGAGAAGAGGTAGTCCATAGCCTTTCTCACAGCCACTAAGGCAAGGATCTGTGGAGGGCAACACCTTGAAGTATTAGAGCCCAACAAAAAAATGTGACAGCTTGTCAAAATGAAGGGGCAAAACAGAACTGTTTCAGCTGTTGAGTCTCACACATGGAGAAGAGAGATCGCTTTATTGGCCATATACAATTTCTTTCATTAGGAATGTGTCTTTTCACATACCCCAACTTGCTCTCCATGAGACACAGACAGGGAGAGAAGCTTGGGGTCAGAGTGCAGGATCAGCCATTTATGCGGCGTCCCTGGAGCAGTTGGGGTTAAGGCCTTGCTCAGGGGCCCAACAGAGTAGGATTTTTACAGCCAGTGCAGATCCACACTCAAAACAACAGTTCATTATAATTCCAATGAACAATAATTCCAAGGTTTCTTCTAATGACTCTGATCAAGTCATCATGTCATGCCATTGTATATTCAATTTGTTACTTCTAAATTTATCTAATTCAGTAGAGGTTTAATAGTCTTTTACATTAACTTCCCTTAGTAGGTTAAGTAGAAAACATTTAATTCAAAATGACAAACATAACTTCAAAGTTGAAGTTGAATTCAAATCCTACAATACACTGCGTGTATGTGCAAAACCAAATTAGTTCCAACGGTGCACAGTGGCCTTTATTTGGCAAAGTGTTGAGTGAAATGGAACAGGTTTGTGGCTTCTAGGAAGCTGGAAAGGAGGTGTGCCCTTACGCAGGACTTACCATGACTGGGAAAATAATAGCAGCCACGGTTGACTTGAGAATCCAGAGCAAGGCCAGACAGAGCACCTGAATAAAGGTGAACAAATGCACTCGACGCAATGGGACATGCCGAAGGTAGATAAAGTCAGGCTGATGTTTCGCTGGCATTAAAAGCAGTTGCAGGCGGTCCATGAACTATAACAAAACAAATTCTACACTCAATTCAACTAGTCACAAAATGAGGCATCTAAAGATTTTTTTACAAAGTTTAACAGAGCTGTGAATTTTCTCTTTGCAAGAAAGTTTAGTCTCAATCATCTCAATGGCAAATAACACACTGAATGTGCCATAATAAAAAAATAACCTTTTTTCAACATTTAGCTTTGAGTTATGACAAATATATCAAGCCAACACTTCACAAGCAGATTCGCAAAATGTTATTAAAAAAATATTAATGTCTAATAAAGCAATTACAACTATTTTATGACAACATCATATATCACATTTGATTGTACTGTAAGTACTCTCTAAGAAAATGTACAATTGAAATTGTGACTTCTAAAACTTCTCTACAAAGCTATGATACAATACACTTCCTTTTTCTTTTAACAATTAAATTAAGTATTGCCTGCAAAACCTTTCTAACTTTTAAAATGAACCATTTTGTAATGGTATTTTATTCTGAAGGGAAGCTAGTTATTTCTTGTGTGCTTCTCTGGTTGTTAAGGTCAAAAAGCACTTGTTATCAGAGGTTCAAGACCCAGTTTTTTTTTTCAAAATCAAACTACATATTTTTATGGAACAAGTAATAGGTTTATTCCATGCTAAAAAGAGAAGAAAGAAAACACAACGTTTCGGCCGTGGAGCCTCCAATTACCACCAATTACTTGTTCCTTTGCAGCCCACACATGCTGATGCAGCTACCCACCTGAACTACTAGAGGACATATAATTATTCTGTGAAGGTAGAATATATAGCCAAAATTAATGTCATTAGTCATGGATATTAACCATTAATCAGCAAAATGGCTGTAAATAATAAATAAATAAGTTCCTTTGCTGAAAATGATGTTAATAATTTACGTTTGTTTCAAAAGGAAATTAAAAATGTAACAATGTGTGATAAAGGTTTCGCTCAAGAGATGTAGATGATGTTTATTCTGCGAGCACCACTGGTGTTTTCAACACTGAAGTTATATTAAGCACATTAAAGAAAGACATGCACTGATCATTTTAGCCAAGACAAGCCTGGCTTGACTAAATTCACTGGTTGCCTGGTTAATGATTATTCACCCCTGTGTAACCTCTATTCAAAAACCTTTATACATTTGCCTTCTAATAACTCACCTGTACTCCATTCAGGGAAGCAACACCCATGTAAAGGAAAACTCCATACAGCACAGGCATTGGAATGAACTTAATAAAAGAGAATATTTCAAAGTTAAAATAACATAGCCAGAAATTAACATAGGTAAAGTACAAAATGTGTCCTCTTTGTATTTTAAATTGGCATACATCTCAGAAAACTGAAATTGCTTTATTCAGATGTTCATACTGCTTTTAGGGAAAGGAAATTTCATTTTTTTTCCAAAGAAAATATTTTTTTAGGAGTTAGGAATCATGCAAAACTGAAAATTAAGGTGCGGGTAATTTCTTTACACTTTCATATTATTTTCTCTGCCTTTCTTTCTCTCAAATTTATATAATTTGTAAATGTATAATTTAAAACAATTTTACACCTTTATTCAGTATCCCTATATAGTTTCTTTTGCATTACTTTTCCTATCCATCTAAATTTAATTTGACCACATATACAGTATATAAGATATTAAAGCAAATAACCACTGTGTTATATCATTATTTATACAATACATTCTGTAATATAACTATTTTACATTTGGTTAAAGGTGTCACAAAGTGTACTGGGAAGGCTATCCCTTTTTGTAACTGGGCATCCTTGATCATTAACTAAACACCATTGGCATGCCCTTATTCACCACCTACTGTACTGTATATACGTAGCATCAAGATCAGCTTGTTCATATTACCCATGCAATTGAGAAAAGCCCTAAAAACCCTCTGTAATCTCAGCTGACTGGGAACATACTGTAATTACAGACAAATCTTACCATACCAAAAGTGTGCTAGGGAACACACCTTTCAAATAAACAGAAATTCTTACTGTGTCATTTACAAAATGGTTAATTGTTTTCTTTTACATCTGAAGATAATCCATGACAATATTTACTAAATGAATGGATATTTAGTTATTTATTCACTTCTAATAAAACCCAAGCCCCAAAGAAAAATAAATGTTATTAAAAAGTCAAAGGAGCACCATTTGTGAGACACAATAAGAATCAATCACATTTTAAAATCTGAAATAAGCATCTTAGGGTTATTACAAATGAGGCCACTGATCACTTGCTTACACTCAAATGGTTTATTATGGGACCAATGAAACGTTTTATGTAATGTCAAATTTTCGTACTGTATGTCAAGCCATGTGTAACCTGGGGAGAGGGTGTATTACAAAACACAAGCATGTAAAAAAGTGGAATATCCAACTCAGGAGGACAAATACTGTACATCCATGCAAAAAAACTAAAAACAGAAACGAAATAAAGTAAAAATAATTGACTTGTTCTGCAGGCTATATGAATAATGTGTATAATTAAGATGATCTCATCTTAGTAAATTGTCAACTCAGTAAATTGAGCTTGCCACTAGGAGGCAGACACGACTTCACAATGTGAGATGTAATCTTCATGTCTTGGGTCTACAGCTCTTGAAAAGTCATAATATCTTCAGGTTTTTCTTATAGCTCAGCTCTGAGTGACTGAATTACAACAGTCAGTTACTTAAACAGGAGACATTAATATGTTTTTCAAATCTCCGATTCTTGACCCTTCACTGATATTTATAAATCCTGCAGAACTATTGTTCTCCAATACCAAGTCCTCTCTTACAGTTATGCACATTGAAATGTCCACTATTAGTTTTTTTTCCCTAAGCCCTTTTAAAATTTAAAGAGCTTTTTGTCCAAATTTAACAAGAACAAAAAACAAATGTTTTTATGAGGAAAGATAAACCTAAACCTTTGTTTTCCCAGACACTTAATAAGATTTGTCAATTAATTTCAGTTAATTAAGACTAACACATAAAGCAACTACTCTGACACTGGCAAAAGCATTTCCGTTTAAATAGGTTATAATTAATACTTGCATTACTGTTGTTTTTTTAAAAGCTAAAAAACTAGGCCTGTATTGTGAGCAAACATTTGAACTACAGAACACTGCACATCTTTGTCTTGATTCTCCTAATTTTGCACATGATTTTGCACTTCCCTAAAGATAATTCCCACTAATAAATAACAAAATCAGTGTACCTTCAGCATTGGAGACATGAAGACAGACACACCCGTCAGAATGAAGACAACGAATCCTGTAACCCTTTGTTCTCTGAAAATACACACAGTTTTGTTCACCAAACCTGCCATGATTTTGTATTCTCTTTCTGAAACAAAACAAAGTTGTTCAACTGTATTTCAGGATTTTTTTAAAAACTTACTGAGCACTCTAACTGCTATGAAGCTGCACATTGTGCCATTTTCAATTCCTTTGATGTTTAAACCATTTTGAAAAAAAAACTGCCCCGCTTTAATCAGATGTTTTAATCTTTTCGATCTCAAAGTGAAAGCATGCATATATGCCAAAGAAAATAAATTACCACTTGCAATGATATTAGTATGAGAACAATTCTTGTACCCAACAGCTAAGACCCAGATGTTTGTAGGTTTAATTCACTCCAACATCCGATACAAAATACATGGATTTACACAGTTAACTACCGTCAAAATACTCTTAGCATTGTAATCGCAAACATAACAATACAATAAATAACTGTACTTTGTTTATTTTTGTACCAAACTGAACCTGATTAGAGAAATATGAAGATGGCCTTTTGTAAAAGCATTCATAAATCTTTGTTGTTTATTATGAAACAACTGCATGGAAATGAAGTCTTTTAACATTAAAAACACAAACGACATAGAGGTACTGTGTATTCCTGATTGAGCTACATGTAAATGTATCTACGGACATCCTAAACTGTTGGGAGCAGCTTTTAACACAAGCAGCCTGATACACTGTACTGTACATTTACTATATGTTTATTAAATTGTTATGATAAACTGAAATTTCCACACATCGTCTTTTACCAAACACTGGGAATGGCAGGAAAAGAAAAGCATCTCATCTCTTCATTTTTGTGCATTAAATATACCATACGCTTTTGGTTTGCAAACTTCATTGTGCTTCATAACAATGGCCTAGTTTGTTGATTTTGCCAAGTGATCTGTTCAGCTGCCTCATGACCTAATAGGGGGTAGTTAAGATTATTAATCTAGTTTTCATGCCTGTGCTCAGTTGCTCACCTAAAGCAAGAGTAACTCAGACCAACTCACTAGTATTACAGATTATCAGGCAATAATGACCGTGCTGAAAAACTACGTGATAGAACTGTGAGGGGGACTCCTCCCTCTGGAAAATAAAATAGCAATACCTCCACCCCTGGAAGAATCCCAGAATTTGTGAAATTGTGAAAGACCACAGACATATGAAACACTGGTGGCACTACTGCTTGAATTTAATTTAGTACAATATTTTACATTGAAATAAGAAAAATTGTATTTAAACCAATACTGATACATACAGTACAATAGGCATAAATATGTTGTTCAACCAATAGCGTTATTTTGGGGTATCAGTAAACCTACTACTTACATAAAGAGATTTAAGGTTTGTTAGAAAGAAGAACTACATCAAGAAGGAAAGAGTAGCTTTTGCAAAAATAATAACTACAAAATTTAAAAACATTCTTCAGCAAAGCCATGTGGTCACGGAAGTCAAAATAAAGCCATTAGAAAAATATGTGATAAAGAAATAAAGTAAGAGTGCCTGTAATGTGTTTTAAAAGATACTTTGAATATAATGGAAAAAGCTAGACAAAAGTCCTGTGAACCAAACACATGCAGTACTGATTTATATTTTTCAGTACATCTACAGTAATACTTTTTTTTTAAAATACTTTTTTTTTTCATAAAACCATAATTTTTCTTTCTTCACACTGTACTTTAGATGCAAACAAGTAGCCTTTTCTTGCATCTTTGGTTTTTAATATAAAATATTCTAATAAAATAAGAAATTCTGAAAACCACCTGATTAATTATTGTAGACAATGCATGTGTATACACAAACATTATTGAAAAGCTGGTCTCTGTCCCCGATAACACTGGCTTGGAAGGATTCTAAGAAACCTTCTAATGTACTGTATGTGGTTTTACAGTACAGAATACAGTATGTGCAATCACATCTTGGATTCAAAAAGGCACAACACTGAGAACTTAAACCACACAGTCGAAACAAATGTGACTCTGCTACAACAAAAGGTCCTTTGATGCAAAGGATTTGATAACTCAGTAGAGTGACAGGGCCAATGGTGCACAATAAGCAAACCTGGAAACAATATCTGGAAGTCGTAGTCAAAACTTTTTTAAAGCCGATTTTGTAAAAAAAAAAAAATTAAATCACTCTGCCTACCTTACTCCCAAAAACTTGGGCTGTTCTCCTGGAGCTGACGTTTCAGTTTCCATCTTCAAGCTATCAATGTGTGCAATTGAGATTACAGTAGCAGCTACATACCATGGGAGTGCCATAAATGAGCACACAATCATAATAATGGCTACCCAGAAGAGATCCAGGTGGTACCCAGCACCTTTCTGTAAGAGGAGAAATAAAAATGTATCCTCAATATAAACATAAATAGTTACCCATGAAATAAAATAACAAAAGGGTCACAACCATCTAGTGAGTTTCCTGACTTAATGGCTTTTTTGTCTCAAAACTACAATAGTATGCAATAAACTAAATTGTTATAGTAAGCGCTAAAACATGCAATTCTCAGAATCTTCTCTGTGTCTTTATATGATGAAAAGCAAAAATTTTATTTTTAAAACAATAACCTGCAGTATTAAAAATAACTCAATAAGAATTTTACACATATTCCAGTTCATCAGGCCTTGATAGTGACCCTGCTGCATTAAGACTTCAGAGATGCTGAAAACAGCCAAGGCTAACCTGCCTCACAATCCCAACATTGTACTGTTCTGCCAAATCATCCCAGATATAGTGAGTGATGAACACAAGGGAATTGGATCTATTGCAGAGTCGCAAAAAACAAACAAATCTATTGCTACAGTAAGACCAGCCATAAAAGGCAGCACCTCAACTACCACTTAACCTCCATTCAAGGCCTGCATTCCCCTCATGTGATCAATAAAGTATCTGTCTATTCTTTCAAACTACACATTAGAGAAATATAAAATACTTCACTTTTAACTTTGTATTTTTTCTTTTCCATTCAAACTGAGTGCAAGCATTACTTTATATGAATGATGAGTTTCTACATAACTGTGTAGAGTAATTGTTAACCACTAGAAAACACATTTTTTTAGTTAAAATCAGTCATGCCTACACACATTTATTTATAAAATGCAAGTTCTTATAGTAGTTCTTCTTTCTCACAACCTATGTTTGTGATTTTTTGTAAGGTAAAATATATGCCTCAGGGGTGCTGTTTTTTATGTTTTCCAATTTCAAAGAATGTTTCAAAGAACAAACGTGATATAAGTTTATCTGAAAGAAAAAGATACACCTAAACAGTCAACACAAAGGTTTGAAAACAAAATGACATCTTTAGCCTACAGTACATGTGTTTCCTGTCTCCAAGAATTTGTTCTTTAAGCACTGCAAGGCCATTCTGTCTAAGCCTGCAGAGCTTTCAAGTCCGACTGACCCACCTTGAGCTTGTGTTCTTTCCTGTTGACAATGACAGCAGTGATCTGCTGGTCCATGAAGATGAGGATGGTCACTAACAGGGCAGGGACACCAGCAGCCAGGTACACCCACCAGGGGTTCTCTCCAAACGGGAAGACAAACCATCCTCTGTTGGGACTTGTTGGCTGAAAACGCCAAGCAGAAAACATCAAACACCAACACAACCCCCAATCGTCTCAACTACAGTGTAAAACCTTCTAAATAAAAACATAATCATACTGTTTAAGAACCTTCATTTTTGTGGGTCATACAGTAATATGCACTTTTATTGCCATTATTAACATGTTTAATTTATGGTTCCTATAAATATTTTACTATCCAATGATATTACCTGATGAGATTTGATGACATTGAAACCATTTTCAAGAAAAGCTTATTTAGGGGTGTATAGACTATGTTTTTTACTGTGATTACATGACACTCAAAATCAAGGACATGATTTCCTTCATACTACTTAAGATTTAAACCCTTTTGTAACTGACAATATAAATCAATATGGCCTTAGTTGTACCCAATATCAAATTCCTTTTTTAAAAACTTGTCTTCGTGTTATTTGATATATAGAACTTCCAAGACCAAAAAATAAAAAGAGGAACAGTGTCTGGGTTACAGGAAATATAAATCTGTTTCTATGGTATTTGTGGTGGATTTATGTAAATTCAGTGGTAATTTAATCCAAAACACTCTAGTGCTAAAATACTTAGCAAATTCCTGCAGTAAATTTGAGTACACAAAACTCTACTCTTTTACCACCTGCATGGAAGGGCCGTTCAGTAGCAATCTTTGCATATTAGATTAAGTATATTTTTCAAGACAAAGTAACTTTCTAAACAATCTCATTCAAAATTCAAATTTGCTGCACCTCCTCTAATTCTAAATGAATTAAGAATCAGCCAGCTGTGCACAATATGTTTTGACTATTTTAAAAAATACCACTTTCAAGTTTTGTTCTTTTAAGCATCTAGAAGCACTGAATAGTTTAGTAAATAAAAATATCTTCTCAATAGCAAAACCATTACACTCAGCATGTTGAAAATATATGGTCTTGGAATGTGAAAGTGAATTGTTTAAATACACATACAGTAAATAGCAAGTCCCATACCTTGAATTCACTTGGCACAATGAGTTTTGGTGTATCCACTCCAACCAGTGCATCCACTCCACAGAAAATCAGGATAGCCAGAATAATGGCAAAATCACTGATCAGCTTTCTAACCTGGAATGAAAGCCAATATCACCTTTTATCCAATGCAAGGCATTAACTGAAAAGCAGCACAGTTTTTATCAGTTTCTGTAATGTTAACTAACATTTCAAACATACCCAGGTATAAAACAATTTTCAAAAACTATAATTTACAGATTAGTAGGAAAGAAGACTGATGTTCTATTCTCTAACAGAGAAATCAGAGGGGGTTAAAATAATGTGCATTTTTTCCAGGATTGTAAATGTATTTGTTCATTTCCATTCAAAGTCTGCGTGAGCAATAACTTATAGGCCCAGAACACACACTATTTGGAGCAATTCCTTTTGCTTTTCATGTGAATTATTTTAGCATTTTGATCCCAAATGCGACAAAAATAACAATTCCTCAGCCAACATTAATCTAATTAACCCATCCTCCACAGCAGTATTCCCCTCCAGGTTTCTACTTAATGACTCCTACAGTATATGGTCAAACAGCTCAATGGAGCCCCCATGCAATAAGGCTTTGACTGTGTCCTGCATCAGCAGGCTGACCCTGGGGCACCACACCGGCACCATGAATCCTAGCAGTCTGAAGGTCCCTATACATCATATCTGAAGGACGTCACTATACTGAGGCATTAGGACCCACATAGACCGCAGAGTGAGCATCCCCTGCCGGCCTCACTAATACCACTTCCAGCAGAAACCTTAGTTTTTCCCAGGAGGTCTCCCATCCAGTTACTGACCAGGCTCACATCTGCTTAGCTTCAGTGGGTTGCCAGTTGTAAGTTGCAGGGTGATACAGTATGACTGCAGGCCATAATGTCAATTACAATTTTTGGCAAAAGCCATATTTCTGCTGCTGCCAGAGGCCCAGACTAGAGTCATCATCCTGCGAGAGTATTAAATGTAACAGGGAATATTCCTATTTAGAATAAAGGACAAGCATGAAAATACTTTTTTTTCCAGAATTTAACAATCTCTGGTGTACAAATGTGCCTGCTGGCCACAGTGTGCTTATCTTTAAAAAAAAAAAATAAGTATGCAACAATGGTATAAACTACAGAACCTTCTTCAATGGCTATATCATGTTAAGCAAAAACAGGACTACACTGTGTCCAAAGAGAAAAAATCTCGAGAGGGATGTCGTTAATGCCAGGTATTTTACCCTTCGTCATGACATGATCCTTCTCCTTTAGCTCAGAAAGATATATTATTGCCTCTAACACAACTGTCTCAGCTGTAGGAAAACAAAGAACCTAAGCAAGAGTTCTGACAATTAGGATTTTTTTGTTGCTCAAGATGGAAATATGAGAGCAAGAATCTACATGAGTAAAAAACTGCTTAACATGTAACTTCATTAAGGATGGGTTCAAATCCATGTAGTTTAACAGCCAAGACCTCATTTGGTGTTGCTACAGTATGTATCTTTTAAGAAAACAAAAGTTAAAAGATAACATGCACAGTATTGTCAGCACAGGGCTCTACACATATGCTTTTGTTTCCATGGAAGCAGACACCCATGGAGGTTTATAGATACTGTATTCATATGCCAGTGCCTGCATGAAATACGAGTAACTAACTGACGGACCTGGACAAAACCTGTAATCGCCTAACAGCAATGGAATGGAGATCATATGGTAAATTGAGCCAGGCTTTGGAAATTTAATTTGCTGCACTTTGTCAGATACACCTTACGTATAAAGAATGGATTTTAGTTGGTCAGCACTATATTCCTGAAAACCCCCAGTTTGTAAACTCTAGACCTGTATGAAAGGAAAACTTCATTAATATCTAAAATTGCAGTCATACTGTATATCATGTCCTCATCTTGTACTTTTTTGACAAAAGCCATTTTCATATTGTTTTGTATTCATGAATATGATACGGAGTGTATTAATATCTCCATGTCCTTTGGTCCAAGGCTCAACTGAGTGATAGCAATTAATGCAGACTTAGTATGATGTACCAAACATAGTCTATGTATTGACAGCATTTAAACCATTACAATACTATAGGGCAGTAAATGTTTAAAAAAGTAAGTGTGAGAGCAGTCACATTCCACATCAGATAGAACCACCCTGTTTGGATACAAAATCACTTATACAAAATACAAAACATTTAAAAAAAATCTGGTTTGGTCAAATAAAATGCATAATAAAGAAATATTTGTCATTAGTTTGAAACAAACTGAATTATTCTTTAAAACCTTTCTTTGCTATTATATCTTTACTTATATTACTTAGCTGGGAATTTGGGCTTTCTGTTGAGAAATAGTTTAATAATTCCAAATACGTTTCATTTCAGAAACCAAAATGTTTTTTTCCAATTGTCCTCCCACTGGCTTTGGACATTGGGGGTTTTACTCCAGGCCTTCATTACTGATTACATACCAATGAAAGGGGAAAAAAGATGATAGCCTAAAATATTCCTGGAAAACCACCAAAAGCCCCATCACTATATGCAGGCAGCAATACTCTTACATACCACAGAAGGAACAAAAGAAAATTAAATTATTTTAGTACAATTGTAAGATTTGACCCTACTTATTACAGTTTGTTTTCTATCTTCTGCTGAAAATACTAACCCAAATTCAAAAGTCAACAATATAGTATTAAGTGATATTAAAATGCTCCATGAAATACAAAAAGAGTAATTAGAGCATTTAGGAAAATTTAATTTGAACTCCCCAAGAGATTTGAAATAGTAACCTGTGTTTAAAAATATTTAAGAAACAAATCACTAAGAAGAAAGGGTTTCCCAAGCCCAAATTTTATAAAAATTCAAGCATTTTAAAATGTCTGGTTTGTCTTAAAGCAATTGCATGTTCTAAGTCCCCTATGCCAGGAACTTGTTGAACCAAAGCTTCACAACATATTCTTCTCTATTTTTTTCATCCTCTTGATGCACAGGTATTTTATTTTATACCTCTCTTGCACTTTTGATCCTGAATTAAACAATTTTAATTGCGCTTGCTACACCAACCTAAAACTACTCTATCGAACAAAGTAATACAGTAGCTATTCCAGTGGAATTGACATACAAAACATGCTTTGTTTGGAACACTTAACACTCAAAAACTGTTAACAAAGCCAACACATGCTGTATAGTCTGATGAAGTGGGAATAGGACAAAACTTTAGAGTTGTGGATATCCAAGACTTGTCTCCTGCAGTAGAGCCCCTCAGAGGTGGAGACATTCTTGTAAAAGTGCTGGAAAAACTTAAGTGAGTGAGGATGTAGGGCATATGGGCATAACTGCTTTGTATGTCTCCTTAATGATTTCTACAAGCCAATATGAGGACATCTTGAAGAAGCCTATTTTCTTTAACATGGGATCTGAAACCAATGTACAGCAAGAGGGCACAGTGATGTAACATTGTAAATACCTGACATTTACTCATATTCCTTACTGATTTGCCTGATTTGATGTCCAACACCCAGGCTCTCTTCAAAGTATGTGGTGACACAGCCTTTGACATGTAAAATTCAATGACTGTGAGTCAGGGCAGAGTAATGCTTGTTATTTAATTTATTTTATTCTCATATTCAGGACTTTTACTGTGTTGCACCAAATTGAGAATGGCCTGATTGGTCTTAAAAGGCGCATTTATCAGTCAATCCACCTGCTATGGGAAGATTGCTACTGTACGCCGTGCAGCTGAAGACAACCCCCATCTTCCTAACAGCATTTAAAGAGACTGTGAATGTTAAATGTCAAAGTGAGCAACTGCTTTCTGATCTCCTAGGTCACCCCTTGGCCTTTAATGTGGAGAAACCTAAACCTCGTCTTTGTGGACTATGATGGCTTCCTAGTGCTTTTCTAAGTGGAATCAACTTCTATTTGCAAATTGATATTATTATATTTGTACTTTTAAATGTCACTTTTTTAATAATGTCAACAAGGCCAAATATATACACAGTGCATAATTGTGATTACTTGGTTATGTAAGCTTTGTGGAATTTTGTGATGCTATTTAAATTATTATTCAATGAAATCTCAAAAACCTCAACCTTATTCAACCTAATTTTCCATTGTTTATCAGTTAATTTTTCATACTCAGCTGCAATGTATCTACTCCCAAGCAAGAGTGTTCCCTCAATTATGTCTATTCATGGAGTGCAACTGATGAACATGCAGAACATTAATTTTTAACCTGCAAAACCACCTGCTATAATGAATATAAATGCAAAAGTAATGTGCATTACCTGTAGCCTTTTCTAGGAACAAGTGAAAAAAAAAAACAACAAAAAGTTAGATGATTGATGGATAGAATAATAGATAACCTTTTACTAGTAATGCTATTTTTCTGATCTTACCCCTCAGACACATTACTAAGTATTACATGTTTTCTTTATGTGTTCACTGGAAGGGCAGCTTAAACCCGATGACATGTAAAACGGCTAAAAAAAACCCAACATAAAGTGGCACCTAGTGTACTTACAATTTAACCATTTTCTGGTAACAATTATAGCAAAATCCAAGGGGCATCAATAACCATGTTTTTGTTGGGGAAGCAAATGTTAACTATTAACATTAATAGTGGCATGCACCGATGTCTTTAGGTTCACAACACCTACAAATCAAAGCTGTCTTAAGAGACAGAGATATATTCAATAGATCATACAGCCTATTTTTTACTTACAGTAGTGGGGAAGAATGGGCTGGTCTTGAATTTCTTCAGACACATGGAGCAGGTATACGTTCCAAGGAACAAAATAAAGGACATCAGGGTGATATCTGGAACATACTTGCAGGCCTCTCCAACTAGCTCCCCTCCATACTTCAGGCATTCCTTCTTTGAAAGGGAAGACCATGTGGTATTTAAGAGCTGAGGAATTTAAAAACAAAGAGAGCACAAATGCAAATGCATTACAACACAGTATGAGAATTGTCCTGGCTGTTGTCATGGACATACAGTATGTAGAGATACAGTCTTTAAAAAAAATAAAAGCACTATAACTTTAACGATTACTTTTAAAAACTCCAAACATACAGTAAATACTGCACTGATATTTATATAACTAAAATCAATTTATTCTGTGTTGGCATTTGAATGAGTCTTGCTAAAGAAAGGTCTGGTTTGGTCTAGAGGCTTTCATGCAAATGTTCTCAAAGGACCTGCAAATACAATGAACCATTGACATTTCAAACCTTAATCAAGAGTTTCATATGTCATGTGGTTTGTATAACACATACAGTAGACCTGGAAATATCTTCAGGGGGTTTTTCATATCTATATAGGAAAGATGTTTAACTTTATTTCCATTTTTCTTTTAAGTATCTTATGGAAACCTTAATATCCATGCTACAAACCACAGGTAAGCAACAACAATATGTTAATTCATGTCAGAAATTATCCTTCAAACCTTTACTTGCAAAATGCAACATACACTGGTTCACCAGAAATGCACAGTCTTCAGTTAGCCTGAGCAATAGCAAATGTCCAACAAAGCATGATTTCAATTGAGAGGTTTTTGCAGGATTCTATCATACTTTGCTGTGAAATAAATATAGGGGTTTGCAATAAGGATGCAAAGCAACATTCAAGAGCTTCCTAAACATTTTTTATTGGAAATAAATCAGACCTTCCCAGTTTCATTACTGAAAACCAGAATCCAGTAGAATTCTGTCTCCTTAAGTTATAAATAGCACATCACCTGGAAAAATATTAAATTACTTAATTAAGAGATAAATGATGCCATTTGAACCTTCTCCACAGCATTGATCTGTTGATGACCTAGAGATGTGGAAAACCTTCTAGATTCTAGACTCCCAGAACCTGGGATTTCTGACATAAGATGACATTGAAGCCTGGAGATTCCTTAATCTCTGAGGAAGTCATCAGAATGAATTTGGACCAACATCTATTACGAAAGGTTTAAATATTGAGCAAAAGAATGCCTTCCATTTGAGTGGATGCAGTGACCAAACACAATGCTAAAGACATTGATGCATACATCTACAGTATATCAATCTCTTTCCCATGTCCTTATACCACGATCATTGTAGTGTCCTCTTTCAGAAGCCAGAGCATAGAAATGTAATGATCAGGTTCACTCCATCCACCTACACATCAAAAATGACTTTGTAGAACATACAGTACTATGAATCATCTGCAAAGAAAATAGAAGCTTCACTAGTTCATGGCCTGTTTGTCAGCACAAGACTCTCGACAACTCTGATGCTGTGGCTATAAAAGGACATAAACCACTGGTTGTTTGGCATATGGCCCTAGTGTGTGTGGTCAACTCCTCATTGTTTGCTTTGAAATACAACTTCCACTTGCTTTTAAGGGGTCAAAACAAAGACTCAGGCAGCTGTCGCCTGATGTTTCTGCATCATCATAAGGACCACATCTGCTGTTGGGGCAGGCCATGTATGACCTTGCCCTAAAGTTCTATGAACATCTCCAGACTCTGAGAAATAGTCACAAACTCCCTTGATCACCCCTTTCTAATGACGCAAATATTTGACTCTATTACAACAGTTCCATGTTCACACCAGGTTTCTTCTTTCAGACAAGATGATATAATGGTTTTGTCACCACTACATATTTTATAAAAAGACTTTCTTCAAAGTAAAAGCCTCTTATGTGCCCTGAATCTTAGTATTCCAAACCAAATCTACAGAACAAAGATAAAACTGAAATATTATTTTTAATGCTTTTCTACATGTTCTTGTATCATTACTTTACAGAAATTAGTTTATTTAAAATGATCAGTTTGTTAAATAAAACCAGATTTTAATGTGAGTGATTTTCGATCTACAATTGCTAATTGTAGCATAACTGCTACATTGCTAATTAAAATAAATAAATAATATTTTGTTTACTTTCACTTATTGTCACTATCAAAATAATACCAACAACAATGGTTTGTATAACACGTAGACTTGGAAATATCTGCAGGGCTTGTTCCATTTCTGTACCTTAAAAGCGTGACCAACATTAATTAGCTTTGTTGTCTTGTCATAAAACATGCCATTTTCTCATTCATTAGGCACTGACAAATGGCACTAGTCCCCTGCATTTAATTGGTTCAAATTATCATGTTGCAATTTAATTTGATTTTCATGAACTTTTCGTTGATCAATAAAAGGGGATATTTTCAGTTCACTCATTTCATTTTTTGTCTGATTAAAACCTTATTAATGTGACTTAACATTTTATACAGATCTGTTTTTAATATTGTGAAAATAAATGCATTTTAGTCATTTAAAGCTAGATTAAAATGTTCAAATACATTAAACTGCTGAAAATTAAAATGTTTATAGCATATTTTTCCATTCTTTCCAGTATTAAGTTCATGTTAAATCACCCATACTAAATTACAGTAACTCTTCTAAACAATAGATTATACACAAGTGGTCTATAGTATCGCTGCAAAGGAACAAGTAAAGGTTTATTCCATGCTGAAAAGAGAAGAAAAGAAACACAACATTTCAGCTGTGGAGCCTTTTTCAGGTGTCAGTATCACTGCCTGTTAAGGGCCCCAGGAATGGAGGTTTTATTATAATCCCTGTTATATGGAGGCTTCAGTGTTTATCTCTTTACCAGAAACTGAAACTTTCCAGGAACAGCAGGAGAAGCAGTAACTATTCCTAGATGAAGACACAGAAATTTGAGCAAGTACCCTAACCAAGATTTAGGGATTCATTGTTGCCAATAAACAACACGGCAAATAATTCACCAGTATCTTTAAATAAAGAAAAAAAAACAGAATAAACATGCATTCTACAAACACAGCTTACATTGTCTATACAATATCTGAATGGATACAATATGCAATATACAATATTACAGAATGGATAGGGAAATTAATGTATAATATCCTCCTAAATGCAAATTAATTCCGAACAAATAACGTGGACTGCCTGAGTGTGCATATTTGCAAACTATCCTTCCTGCTTTTCAGATTTCCAGAATGTCAGATTTTTAACCAACTACTGTATCTCTAAGATGTAGATATTTTTACAGATCCATTCTTATAACTTAAGTTACTTAAGAAAAAGAACCACTAGGTTCATAGTTGAAGTGGGAAGTGAATTGAATTTTGTACTTTAATACATATAGTTGATATATCTCTAAGAGATTCATAAACGTAAGTGTAGGCATTTGGTGTCCCAATACAGCATTGCATCAATCACACTGCGGCCTTATGCATTTGCCAGTGAAACGCTGAGTGCTCCTCTAAACTGTTACACAAATATCATTAAAGCAAAATGACCAAAAAAAATGATATTCATTGCAGCTTTACAATGTAATGGGCATTAAAATCCCAGATGCCTAAAATTTGTTCTCACTCTCAACATCTTAGAGAAAAATTGAACATTTTACCAATTCGGTATGATTCAGTATCCAGGATGGTGGAGAATCCAAAGAATCAGTGAAGGTTCCTGAGCTGTTATCTATGGAAAAACACAAAATAAGAATTTGTAAGAAAAAAACATTGTTTTAATCACATAGTATTTTTAACAAATTCTTCTTTCCTCATAAACACTTGAAATAGTGAATTTCTATGCACAAGTTAATATTGAATTCTGTTTAAGCTGTCAAATTGAAGAAAGACAGTAAAATAAAGGATACTGCATTTTATAAACAGAGCAAAAATTTCATTATTCATATAATTTTATATAAATATAAAAATCCTCCAGCACTGGATAATTAAGCAAAACAATCTATCAGTTTTGCTTTCATATGTATTTTATTGTAAGCATTAATTCAGCTATCAGTAACTCACAACTGATTTTAGTTATCAAAGCTAATATACAGTAGAATAACAACAACCGGTTTCCCCTGACAACAGAATTGTTAATTACTTATCAAAAATTATGAAAAAGATGTTGACAATTTTTATCAAACAGTTCTGACTCAATAGTGATTTCACAATTTTTCAACAGAAATCAAAACATTAGATGAAGATCTGTAAAAGGTCAAATTAAATTAAATGTATCCACCAGACTCGTGACATTTACAGTACCAACAAAAAGAAAAGCAAAAGGTCTGTAAGGACCAAAGGTTGGTAAAATAAACTGGCCATAAAAATTAAAAGTAAAGTTTTCTTTCTTTGATCAGTTTTCCTGATCTTCCTGATCAAACATATAGTTTTTGTTAGTTAATTTCAAGTAATTTTTAAATAAATAAGGGAGATTTACTCAAAATGAAACAATGAGGATCTTATCCTGTTTTTGAGTATGCAACAAATCCAAATATATGGATTTGTTGAGAAGGAAGGCTAGGTATGCCAAGGAACTGCACCTTCTAGCATATCAGTACGCTGTACACTGCACAGATAGTACATGTACTGTACAAAGGCAATGAAGTGTTACTAAAAGGAACAGAACAGTTTGTATTTTCTCAAATTAGTACAAGGATTGTAATGATTGTTCAAATATTTTTGGGTTGTGCCACAAATCTTTGACATACCTGTAAGAATAAAATAAAACAATACCTCAGCAATTGTACTGAAATGTTTTGATTCTGATAGGAAATAAAATTTCAAAGTTTGTTATACACATTACAGTACACTTAAAAGGACTGTTCTTTTAAGCCTGCGTTCAGAGTAAGCAATCAAATGTTATAACTCTGTATGTCAAAAGAACAAGAACCAGAAAACCTTCCAGCAGACAGGTGGCATTTACACACAGTCAGATTATTATTTAGATTATCTACTGTACTTTATATGGATTCTCACCATTGTAAGTACACTTTGACAAGCACTTTCAGGTTCTGAAAAGACATGAAGCACTATGGAAATGGAGAAATTTGTGGTGAAAAATCACTTTACATCTAAAGATTATTACATCTAATAAGATTAGTAATTTATATAAAACTGTTCATTTTTCGTGCTACCAGTCTGTTTTGACATTAGTTAGTGGTTTCCCAGACTAGTAAAGACTACATATAAAGTAGACCTTGAAATTCTGCCTTCCCATCTGTTTCAACAATGTGAGAGAGATCTCTGCTTAATATCTGTTAACATGACTTGATGACAAAGCTGTTTCCTTCTTTCTGTCTGAAAGCATTTAGTCCAATACGTATGTATAATCAAGGTACTCGAATGCAGAGGTTATTCATTATGCACAATAATAGACAATTTCAAAAGCAACATTAAAATAAAATGAAAAAATAATTCAATTTCCACCAAAACAACTATGTAAAATGAAAGCAAGGAAGCTGGTTTAATAAACAATTGGAGAGCAAGAATCTATCATTCTTAGTACGTTTCTGTATGGCTAAACTTCATAGGTGAACAGAATCTAATAGTAATTCAATAGGAAATTTTGCCTAACAATAAATGCATTATGAATGTAAACCCATAACTCTAAACGTACAATGAGATGCCCTTTGTTGGCTTCCATTATTCTTTAAAGAGTTGTCATTATACTGCATACTGCCTTCAGTATTCAGTATAATTACTGGGACTACATTTGTAATCTCTAGCATCTGTTGTTTCCCCTAGTGCTGTCTATCACATTAAATTGTGTTTATGCCTTCTCATGCAAGGCAGAACAGACTACACTGTTACAGCCAGAACTGAGGGCCATCATAGCAGAAGACTGCTTGTGGAGAGAGCATGCTTTTGCAGTTTGTTTGCTGACTCACACTGTATCTGTTTAGCTAATTTGGTGGAGTTATGCCTAATCGCTAAATGTTGAAAAACACATGTACTGTTTTGATATTGATTAACATAAATTCTATTTATTTTTTTATTTATTTTTTATTAGTTTTGGTTTTGTCTTTTCTTTCAGCAACAGACTGTCTATGGTTTTATACCTTGAGTGAATCTGTTCACAGTATATGACGTTGAAAAGGGGGAGCATTAAAAGCCATTTGCGCACATTCACGGTCACGGTCATTTTAGTTTATCTCAAAATGTTTTGTACTTGATTCATTGTTTGGTGTTCTATTTAATCTGAATGCAAGTTACATATTTCCAGATGAGAAACAAGAGTAAGAAAATATCTCTGACCTCAGTGATTGCAACTATGATGCAATTCAAAGATCATATCCACAGTATGCTGAAAATGACGACAGCCTCTAATGATAAAATACAAAAGGTATGTACACAGCATGAGATAGGGTCATATTAAAGAGTGACACACCAATAAAAGTATCACTTGGAGTTTTAGTGGAGCTCAATGATCTGGATAACATTATTCTCACTGGCAGAATGCCATTATACTTCCAAAGAAGAAGTGTAAAATCAGAAGAGCACTGCCAACATTGGATTGGGATTAGATGGCCAGGATTTTCTTGGTGTCCTATCAAAGTGACTGTACTGGGCATCTGCAGACTTGCAATATGTAAAGGCCCCTCATCCATTCAGTACTTAGACTCTTGTATCACACCATGGAGCTTGTAACATGTTTTGATCATTTTGAATTACAGCAGTATTACCACATTGTAATTCTGATCTTGTTAAAGTTGTTTAAACAAGGGGGCACTGTGTTGCAGGAGGTTCCATCCACCAGATGAGATAGTCAGAAATTTGGTTTACTAATTCATTAAAATCATTTAAGTTTCCATGGTACTGTAGGTAAGGGTAGGATGATTAACCTTGATGTCCTGGCTAAATTCCACTGTGGGCGTGCAAAATCCAGCATACCTGAGTCTAGATTCAATTGATTATTTATTTTGTCACTTGATCTGTTAGCACATAGAAGCTTCCCCTTTAGGTGCTACCGTACATTTTAGCAGTGGGTCAATTCTTTGGGTCATTTGGGATGAAAAGCACTAAGCACTAATTGGCTTAATGATTGGAAGTAAAAATGCTTTACAAAGGTGTAAAGGAAATACTTCTTGCTCTCTTTCAGTACGTGAAAAGTCTGTCATTATGAATCACATGATGTACTGTAGGTCTAATGTTAATTGTTGTATCATTGCTAATGTGATATTGAATGTATCTGAATTTTGAAAATGAAAACCTTTCTAGATATTTATTTGAAACTTGTGAATTTATGTGAAAATCTGACATAAATAATCAGATCATTATCTGACAAATCCACAGATAAGCAATGTATTTGACTGGCAAGACTGCATGAACACTGATCTTATTAATAAAGCAAATGTAAAAGTTTCTTACTGTACATGAAACCAAGTCTAAGAAGAGTGAATGAATACACTGTCAGAATTAGACTCAACACAATTGTATGTTACTGCACACAATTGCCCCAACATCCAGTTAACCATTGGCTAGAATTCAGTCATTTGTATACTTTTATGAGAAAACAAAACAAAATGAAAACTTACTAGTGAAAGCATTTTATTTTAGGACTTCTAAGCAAAGCTGAAAAACATCTCTTTGAAAAGTAGTGATTGAATATAAACCTATTGTAAACTTCCTTTTTGTCCTTTTGTGTCATCTTAAAACCTATATTTTTAAGGTAGCAACAAAATGTCATGTAGATGGCAAAATTATAGAAACGTTGAGAATCCAGACATTTGAATACAGAAAGACATGACAAAAACATATGCCAATAAGGATTATCAAAATTTAATGTAAATGCAATTAATAATTTAGGAAATGGCAGCAACCATTCTCTGTAAGACTCTCCAGATGTATGATAATGAGACTAATTGCTTTTTACAAGCAAACCTAGAAAAATCAAACAAAAATTTAGCTGCTAAAGCTATCTCATAGAAAATACTTGAAATTTGCAATAAGGAATGGTTTAATCATCTGCATTTTTTTGTTTAGATAATAATAATAAGGAGTATTAAATAGCATTAAGTATTGTCACAGTTTCTGAGCATTTGTCCACAGTCTACAGTACTGGCACCACACTGCTGCTGTAACTTGTTTTGGTGGCCCAGTAAGTGGTTGAGGTTGCTCAGACTGGACAACAGTACCTTAACCTCCCCCTAAATCAACTGCTAAAGCAACTGAATTGTAAACCTTCTGACTTGTGTCATGGGGCTACTGGCACATAGTGGCTGCCATGTGCCACTAGCTGGGTGCCAGTCTACACCAGTGGGTAAAGTCTTTCCTGTCCTCCTGTAGTATATGTAAAATGCTTTGGAATGAAAAGAATTATATATTGTACATGCAAGTCTGTGCCATAATTACTTATCATTATCTACTGAGGATGTCACTGAGGAAATTTCAGTGAAATGTTTAGAAAAAACTGAGAAAATTGAGAAATTCAAGACAAACAGCTAGAGACTAGCATTGTACAGATAATATTGTTTATGAAAAATATAATAATGAGGGAGCTCTTTTTCCTTTAGTTCTCTTTATTTAGTTACTGTATCTTTCTTAATCCAAATCTGTACTTGGCAGCTGTTTGAGAGACCCTCCCTTCATGCTAGGTGTTTCTATAACATATTATCCTTTTGCTATTTCTTAATGGTATTAGCACTACAACAGATGCCTATTTTGTGGTCCCTAAATGACATTTGTTTCCTGTAAAGGATTTTTTCAGCCAACAAATCTTCTCATTAACAACTACAGTGACTCAGTCCACAAAGAATTACCTCACTAATGTTATCTGGAAGTTCAGTCAGAAAATCACTCCCTACTCATTGTTCGAAACTCTAACACCAATTTTTCCACTCCAGCCCCTTCTTTATTTCTCCTTGACATAAATTAACCTTGTGATCTGAGTCAGTTTTCAACCTCATGTTGATTTCATTTGTGTGGACTTTCAGAAATCAATAGCTTCCACAGAGCTTGCGTCAGCTCAGTCCAGAAAGGCTCTCAGCAGCACCATGCATTAATGAAAGATAGCTGAAGTTACCATATGTAGAGCTATGAGAGCAGAGGAATGCCCTGGCCTCTGCACTTTGGTGCCCTTTGTAAAACTTTGAAAACCATTTTATTATTAACCAAGCTGCAGCAAGATTAATTCAATCATATAATGAAAAATGCAATATACTCTCTTCTGTTTTGAGTTTTGAGTAATCAAATTAGGTGAGTACACCTTATGAGTACATCTTTAATGAGTACTGTAAATCTCACTGAGTGAAATTAAAAGTGTTAGGAAAATGCATTCTATTGGGTTAACTCTCTCAATTCTGTCATTTCAAGTGGAAACAGAAGCATAAATGGTATCAAAACTGGATGGGTCTTCTAACCCTAATCCTAGTCTGGCCTGAAATGCATGCTTATTTAAATACCTTTTCTAACGGTATTTTTCAAGTGAATGAAAATTTGCCTCGAGAAAGTACAGTAACTGCTGAAGCTCATTTCCCCTCCTAATCTACTCTGTAGTGGGACTGCATATGACAGATAACAAACATCAACAGAACCGTCTTTGTTCATTAACTTCACCCCCCCCAAAATAACCTTTACTCAATTACGTGAAATCTTATTTAAGCACCCAAAATAGACATTCCTTAGTTTGTGGGTTGTTATCCTTCTGGGAAAGAATGATATGCCAATACTTGCCTCTTCAATATGCCCAGCTGTAAATGCATTTATTACCCAATAGGTTCCAAGCACTGCAGAGACTGACAGGAGTGTTAGTGCCAACTGGAGACAGTATCTTGAGATCATATCAAACCTGCAGTTACCCAGGAAAGCACAGCATTTGGTGTGTGCTGGAAGACTTGAGGAAGCTCAGACTGATTAATCCCAGACCTTGAAAGCACTCTGCCAACTGTACATCTATGGTTGAGGAATCCCACTCATAGTAGGCTACTAACATGACACAGGCTCTGATATTATAGCACAATCTGCTCTCTTTCATAGTTTTCATCATTTGGTTTTTCTTCCTTTGTTAAATTCTTTCATGACACATGTGATATGCATGAGATTTGAGGTGACCAATGAATGGAAGTCTTCATAACATTATCATAGCTTAGAGAACTTAATGGAAAATAACAATACAGTAAGTGAATTCTTACCTGCCGATGGTGGCATACAAGTACAGTCATATTGTGTCACATAATCAAATTTAAAGTCAGAGTTGATAGGGTAATAATGAGCCAACTTGAGCATCTTCTTAAAGGCATCATAGATAAATATGAAACTAATCAACGAGGAGAATCCTTCTTCAGTGAAACGGGTGAAATATTGTACAAGGAAGCTGGCATCCGTAGCAACCAGAATTAGGCAGAAAAATGCAGACCACAGGCCTATCCACAGTCGAAACTCCAAATAGTCAAAGCTATTATCCCTAAAATAGAAAAAAAACAAAACTGAAATACAATTTTAGTTTTACCGCTACACATTATAACACCAACCAGTTATTATTGAAGAAAAATATTCTAAAATTTTGCACACTAGAGAATTGCTCCAGGAACTCCGGAAAAATAACCTTGTACTTTTCATGTAACATAATCTCTTGGATTTGCAAGAGGTTGTTTGAAATCGTGAACTAAAATATTTGTTCAAAATTCCACCACCCACGATATAAAACAATTGCTGAACTCTCTGGAATCAGTCCAGAGAAGAGCGATTTGATACATTCTGTGATTAAGTAAATGTCCAACAATGAGGTTGAAAGAATTGAACTTTTTGCTCTTACTCCACATTTTAGTAGTCTTAGCAATAAAAAGTTCAAAGCACAACATAAAATGTAGCCTCCATTGACCTACTTACATTTCCACCAAAAATCACCTACTGTATTATAACACTAGTTTAGCTTATTACTAGTAATAGAACAGGTAGTGGGTTTTATCCATGCTGAAAAGAAAAGAAAGGAAACACAACGTTTCGGCTATGGAGCCTTCTTCAGGTGTGAAGAAGGCTTGAAGGCCACGCTTTGTTTATTTTATTTTATTTTCAGCATGGAATAAACCCGCTACCTGTTCCTTTGTAGAATGCGCATGCTAACGCAGCTACTGTGCCTACTTGAACTACTAGTAATAGAATATAATTAGATAAATCAGCATATCTGTAATATCACGTATAAACCTACCCCATGTAACACAAAGCACCTGAATAAGAATTCTTTATCTCAACAGGGTGTAGAAATCAGGATTCAGAGAAAATTAATCAACAGTTGGGCACATCGGATATCTGTGGTTCATATATTTGTTTTGTTTTTTCAGATAAACACAAACACAATATATTGTGTTCAAGCCAGTTCTTATACAAGCATTAGATTATTATTCTTTTAAACACATATTATAATTCACACTAGAGATTACTTTAAAAAGTACCCTTTACAGGTAACATGATAATACTAAAGTTATATAATGTCCATTATAGTTATTCAGAGAAAAACATTGTACATTGCACTTGCACTTTTTTTATACTGGTTATGTACAGTACATGTGCAGTATATTGCACTTTTGTACAGTAATTAGTAAATTTATGCTCTTAGTTCTGTTTAATATTTTAGCCTTATGGGTAAAACTAATGTACAGTAAGGCCAGTGAACACAGAGAGACCAAAAAGAAAATGAAATATTAAGGACATAAAAATTCAGAACTGGGAGGCATACAATAGATTCTGTTATCAAATTAAACAGAAAGTACCCTAGTATTATAATATTTTTAGGTCTTAAAGTAGACCAGACCCCTTATTAACTTCTTCTACAGATGCCGCCTGTCCATTCTGCTTTCATAATCTTCCAAAATTATTTTAATGACAGCCTGCTAATGTGCACATAATACTTCAGAGTATACAATTCCAAAACCAGCTTTTTTCACCAAAAATTCTTGATGGAGCTTATCCATTTGTTGCCCAGTAAATATCAGTAAAAAAAAGCTTGTTTCCCTTCATGAAAGCACATTGTTGTTAAGGGTCTATCGGACAGCAATATAAGTAAGCCTGATCAAGTAATAGCCAATCTTGGAAATACTGTTTGTTTAACATTATTATTAGTTCTGAGTCATCAGCTTTTTGTATTTTAATTCAGTGTTGAAATTGTTTTTTGAAACTTATTTTTAAAAGAACTGACGAATATAATAAAAACATAGAAAGAACATGTTTTTAATGTTCTTTTCATTTAGAAAATATATTTCATAATGGTAACATGACTAAACTCAATTGAATTGCATTGTTACATACAAGGTCATCATTCATTAAAATTACAAGAAATATGTTTGGGTTCAAAATAACAAAAACAAAGCTTTTAAATGTAAACAATCAAAGAAAACTAAATCAATTCATTCATTTTCTAACTGCTTTTATCTGCTAAGGGTTATTGGCAGATGCTGGAGCCTACCCCAGCAAGCAAAAGGCATAGGGCACTCACATCAGGGCCAATTTTTACAAAATCTGATTAAAATAGCTGTATGTCTTTGGACTGTGGGAGGAAACTGGAGCACCCAGTGGAAACCCATGCGAACATGGGGAAATACAAACTCAACACAGATATCACCTCAGGAATTGAACCCAGGGCCCCAGTGCTGTGAATCATGGTGGTGCGTGGTTTCTGCAGCCTACGGTTTGATTGGTAAAATACCTCGGACCTACTTGCTGAAATTGAAGAGCAGCCTCTCAAAGACCAAAACAGGACCTGTACTGCTGAGGATAATTAGAGGCTGACCACCAAAAAGGCAGAAAACAGCTCCAGAAACCGCAGTGCCCAGGAAACTCTCCAGAACTCCCTAAAAGAGAGGGGACAGCACATTTGTTCATGAATTAATAATGCTGTGTCAGGGGACATGCAGGCCGGAACCTCTCAAAGCAGCAAGCCTGCCTGCACACAAACAGCATGCCACTGTTTGGTGGAAGAAAAGCTTCTGTGTGAATGTAAAGTAATAGCTTAAGAAATGATGTGGGGAATAGGTCAGTTAAAATGAAAAACAATAACCTGGATCTGATGATAATTTCCTAGTTCTATTACAGAAAAGAGAGTTTGGGAGTATGAAAGTGAAAGGAAAAGAGATTATGGGAGTATCCATAGCTATGATACTGTATTTCCACTCTCACTTAAGATAGAAGTTGTATCCTAAGACTGGAGAATTGCAAATTTAACAACAATTCATTAAAAGGGGAACTAGAAAAGACCATTCAGTCTTATGTCTGTTACTGGTAAAACTGATCGCAACAATTTGACCTAAACTGGACTAATAAAAAACAGTGATACTGTATGTTAGGAGCAAGAAAGGCCGGCAAGAAAGGCAGGTCTATTTGACTTACTGTACTTCTAGAGCAAGCTACAAGGACAGTTTATTTAGTATATTTAGACTTCTAGAAAGCTTCTGAAAATTTCCATAGTAATCTAGGTTAACGTATGCATGTGGATTGAGAACTGGTAAATGAAAAGGAAAAAAGTGCATTGTACATCACATTGAGTAGGTATAAGCAGTTGTATACAACAGGAATTTTAGAGATCCAGGTCTGGATCAAATGTTTACATTCTGATATAGTTATCAAACTAGTTTAAACTTTGCAACTGAAAAATAGTGGCAAACCTAGATGCACTGCAAAGCAAGAGTAAGACACTGTAACAAAAGTGTTCTTTCTGGACACTATGCAGACGACACGATCCAGGGAAAGTGAAGAAAACACAGGGAAAAAGTCATGCAGGATACAGGGATGAAAACAGGGGGGAGTGTCCATTGAGTGCTGGTGGTCGGGGGAGGTGAGACCGAGGCAAACAATCCGGGGATGAGTCAAAAGTGGAATCCAAAGACAGGGCAAAAGTCTAAAGCCTGGCAATCCATCCGCGACTGACAATTAAAAACCAGCGCCGGGTCGGGACCGGCAGGGGAAACGGGAATGGGAACAGGAACAGAAACTAAAAGCATAACGGAGCCAGGCGCATCCAGGTCCTGGGCTCGCATGATGTGGAAACCAATGTGGAGCCCAGATTAATGTCAGCGTCTGGCTTTTAAGGTTGGCTGGAAGGAGGCTGGAACAGGGGGCAGGTGCACAAAATCAAGTCTGAAGTGATAGAGCCAGAGCGCCCTTAAGAGGGAGGGACTACAATTGTGACAGACACTTTGAAAAAAACATGGATCGACCAGACACTTGACAGATAACTTTTAAAATGCAAATTTAAGTGCAACGTGATCTATGCATGAAGTAGGCATAGACACAACACATCCATTATGAGTGACTCCGAGCTGCAGTAAGCCATAATGAAAATGATTGGGTATTTAAGTAGATTCTTCTAGGCCCTCATCAATACAATGCAGACACATAAAAAAGAGAAGGTTTGGGTATGTAACAAAAATGTGTTTTAAATTTCTATAAATAGACATGATGCTCAAACATTTCAAGACATGATTCAATTTAGAAAAATGTACTCAAAATCTCTTTACCAAAAAAGCATATTATAGCCATAGAGCTCAAGTAACTGCAACAAGAATGATTCCTGGTTTCAGGAGATTGTTATACTGTCTATGGACTAGTTATAGGAATAAAGCTCTTCAATCAAGAGCAAAGTACTGTAGACTGAGAGGAGATATGAGCCAACTGTAAAATCGTAAGGAATACAGATAGGGCCAATACACTATTTGAGATTCTGTAACATAAGAACAAAGGGTCACATTTTAAAATTAAAAGAGAATCCACTTAAATCAGAGCATAGAAAACACTTTACTTAAAGAGCTGAAGGTATCTGGATCAATTTCCAGATTGGTGGTTTAATAAGAAATTCTAAACTCCAAGAAACAGCTGTTTGAGATTTTTGATTCACTTAGCTATTAAATTTTAAAAAATAAGTAAGATGCACTGAAAGGCCTTTTCTCGTGTCTAACTCTTCTTATGTTGTAATAAATGTGTCCTCATCTTTTAACAGAATAAGATTGCTCAACAATACAAAAATAGGACATTGTTTTGTTCTTTCACTTTTCTATTTCCAGGAAGTTCCTTTGCAGTTGAAAAACAACTTATTCTGAAGAATGCAAAGTTTATTATCAGTACATTAGAGACATTACAGTACACTGTAATTGGAGGTGCCAATAAAAATAAATAAAAGTTCAATGAAAGCCAAAGGATTTCAACAGTGTGCACTTAAATGCACACTGTTGAAGGAACAAATCTCAACATTATAAACCCAACGTTAAGACCAAGTTTTTGCCTGCTTTTATTTATTGTCAGTTGGCAGTCATGATATTATATGATAAGATTCCTTTTTTAATTAAAATTTGATATTGTGACATTGACCAGACTTCAAGCATTACTTATACACAATATACACAAATATTGTTTTATGTTTTTAAGACAGTAGATACTGTACAAAGATAATGATCTGGTCTGTATCTATAATAACTGTGTCTATAAATACAATTTGTATTTGCCAAAATCTCTATGAACTTCAGACTTTGCCTAAGACTTTGGCCAGGAGTTCAATGAAGAGGAAAATGATAAGGAGATAAGTGTTAACAGTATCATATCTAACAACTAGAACTAAATATACAATAGTTTTACTTAATTAAATAAAATACATTTGATACATGCAGTACAGTATACCTATCCATCCATTTTCTAACTGCTTTATCCAGCACAAGATCACAGGGAAGCTGGAGTCTAACCCAACAAGAATCAGGCTCAAAGCAGGACACACCCTGGAGAGGACCTCAGTCCATCACAGTGCACAAACAGACAGAAAAACACATATACTCCCACCAGGGCCAATTTTACAGAAGACAATTAACCTACCAGTATGTCTTCGGACTGTGGGAGGAAACCGGAGCACCGGGAGGAAACCCACATGAACAGAGTGAGAACATACAAACTCCACACAGATAGCTCCGCAGGAATTTAACCCAGGGCACCATCAATGCAAGGTAGCAATGCTAATCACTGTACCACCATGACGGCATATATATACAGTAAAAAGAACAATTACATTTCCATTTGAAGGTGCTTTCTTTTTTTCTGACAGCAAAGTTTAATACATCAATGCCAAATAAATGTTAAGGCTTCAAATTTTGTTAGTTTTATTTGCTCAGCTTTTTTACCATTTCTTCAAAGTTAAAACCTCAAAGAGCAAATTCAGAGAGAAGGTACAGTAACTCAGAGAGCAGAGACAATAAAGACCCACTGTAATATCTTTAGCAGCTGGTAGACAGATTATGTTTCCTATAGCAGACTTTTGATAAACTGTACACAATCTGACGCTATTTGGTGTGACCCATGAGAGCATGCCAAAACAAAACAAACTGCTATAGTGAAATAGTGGCATAAAAGTTAGAAAACTGAGCCTAGTATCTTTTACAAGAGATCATGGTGCTTTTATACAGAAATAAAGAACTAGTGGACTTGACTGATGTAGCATGCTGAATAGTAGCTGTAGCATACTGAGAGTAAGGAGAAATGATGAAGATAAGCTGCTACCAAGTCTTGTTTACCTGTCAATTTGGACAGCAAACCACAGGTGTTACTATGTTTCTGGCTTGAACGGATTTTCAGCTCATACAGTATATGTCACCCCAGGTAATGTAAGATTAGTTTTTCAAATATCTGTAGTTAGGCATGCTTCAAATTTTAATGCGGAGCACAAGATACATTCACCCATGAAACAGTGAAGCATTACACTTAAATCAATTCAATGATAAACTATTGTTCGACTAATATGTAGCATTCTCACTAAATTTCTAATCCTATATACTGTATAATTTCCATTTTTTAAAACAGGTTGGACAGAAATCTTGCTATCGTGTGTACAGCATGTATATCTATTCATCCATACAGTATATGCAGCAATATTTCCTTTAAGTTATGTCATAATAATTAAATATAAAAATATTAAATATTACATATAATTAAAACAACTGAATGCTGAATCTTTGATTTTCAGTTTAAAGTTTAAATGTTTCTATATAGAGAGAATTCAGAATATTACAACATTTTAACACTAATGTGCATCTTTTTTAAAGGTTAGTATAACATTCCTCATCCTTGATCTTTACCAGTTACAAAAAGAAGCATACAACCAGAAGCCGACTTTAACAAGGACTGCTTTGTAATCTGGCTCCTTAGTTATTTATAGCTCTGTTCTGAATAGCTCAATCAAGTCCATTGTAACTGGTACCCGCAGGTGCCGCACAGCTACTGCTGCACATCATTTTCAATCTAACTGCCTCAGCTACATAATACAAGGCTGTATGACCACATGCAAAAGACCAAATTACAGGGCGACCAGCAGGCCTGATTTTATGTGTCCGGACAGCTATCCTATCTATATATGCACATAAGGTTAAAAGAAAAAGAAGCTGATGAGTTCTCAAAACATTCTTCTCAACCAAATTACCAACAAAGCATTTCGGAAAAACAAACAACGGCTCACCTGCATATTGTCAGTCGCATCACCTAGCAGACCTCCGAAAGTGATTGCGTTGGTGACTGTTGCCAGATAGATGAAAAGAATTGCAGATAGTGATTGGATGTTTAAAGCATCATAAAAGTCACTCGCAAAATATGGGAGCTTCCTTTTGATGTCAAGGATAAGGCCGCCACAAAACCTGACAAGAAACAGAAGCATGGGATTTGGATTTTTTTTATTCAGAATTTCACAATAGTCAATTTTAAGTATATAAAAACTACAGATTGCTCGCATTTCATCCCTTTTCTCCATATTAATTTTCAAAAAGATGCGTCATAGCAATTTAAAAATGTTTTTAGTTTATGTGGATACTCAGCATTTAAGCATTCAGCAACACTTTCAGGATATATTTATTACCAAATGTAAATTCATATTTTAATATCAAATGGACCTATAAAACTCAAAGTGAATGATGTTTGTTTCAATCATATTGCACAGCTCATTGATGTAACAATGAATTGAAAAGTACAGTAATTTAAATAAGTGCCAAATAATTACAGATGTTACAGTCATTTTAAAATGTCTCAAGTACTTCTAACCTCAGGGACAAGTAAGTTTACCCATTCCTCTCCAGGCTATCACCCTTACATTTGTGTTACTAATGGAATGTTTCCTAGAGGGTCATATGTGGTGCGCTAGGGACAGCCACTTCCTCTCTATGGACCAAATGAAGACATATTTATTGCTTCTTGTGGAGACTAAGAGTAACCCTGTTTCCTGTAGTTAGGCAGTTGAATGCTACTGGACTCGCAGCTCAGACAGTGCTGTGCCAGAGTTTAAGCAGTTGTATGACCTGTGGGAATGAAGTTATCCAATCACTGTTCAATAATAAATCATGAATTAATTTCAAGAGACATCTGCTGTCCATAAATGGCAACCTTAACATCTCCATTTGACTCTATAAACTGGAAAATAGTTACAGGAGGGTCACATTTTTTACATTGATCCTGTTGAAACATGTTTAAACACTGTTGTGTAGATTGCATTAATCTCTTTGCTTTGCTTATTTTTTCTGTGTTTATTTCTCTAACTCACCTCCAAAACCTGTATTTATCTATTATTATATGTTCACCACAGTAATTCCCATACCAACACAAGACAGAGACCCAACACAAAAAGAACAAGCGAAAACATGTCTCAGAAAGACACAACTTTAACATATTTACGTTTATCCTTATTAATATTTAATTTAATTTAAGGCCAGTTTAAGGCCAGTGTGTCTTCAACAAGAGTAAAATAATGTTGTCTTTTCAATATTTCTGGATATACAGAATATCATGTTTATAACAGAAAACAATACATATTTAAGGGTCATTATGAATTTTCCTTACATCTACAGCATATAGTATGCAACACAAAATAATTTACCCTTCTGTATAGAGTATTATAAAATTTGTATAAAAAACACTTTCCTACAAACCATATAATACCTACAGTATACAGTGTTTATGTAATGTTTGCGCAGATTTACTTAATAATTTTCATAAGTGTTTCCAGAAAATGAGGAGTTATCATTTATATTGATATCCAAAAATGCATACTGTAGCACTTCAGCACTATGAAAATGAGACAAAGTACTGTACTTATTTCTATTTACCTTGTAATGCTGTTATAAACATGCTCAGAAAATGAAACCACATACTGTACTACAGCCATCTTATGCTTTGCATTTGTCATACTTCTGCACATCATGCATTGACCGTCAGACCTGTCATTAGCCATTGTGCCTGTAGCTTCACAGTACAATAGCTCTTTGTGGGGAAAAACAATGACCTGTGAAGTGTGTGTTTAATGGGTCTATTTGAAGCATTAAGCACTCAGGAAATTGATGATTTACCTTCCAGTCTTCTTCAGCTCATCACTCACATGGTGCCCCCCACCTCCATGACCTCCATCATGAGGTGTGTCTCCATTCATCTGCACATTATCCCCTCCAGCATACATGTTCTTTCTGTTCAGAGGGAGAACAGACTCCATTATTAACATATAGAGACAAATTCCATTCACCAGGGACACAAGAAATAAATAAAAGGCAAAACATAATTCTTGAACAAGGCATATACAATAATATGTTTGAAAATGTTCCACATTTCTTTTACAGACTATTAGTGGATCCACATAACAACTATACCATTTAAACAATACTGAACAGAATAATCTAATTCACAGATTCAAAAAGTTATTATCAAGAAGATTACTAAATCTTTGTAGTGTGTGTACTGATATTTTATTGAACAGACATAGGTAAATTCATTTGACATCATCAGTGCCACTCAATATGAGTTGTACTGTGAAAGCTGTGCATCTGTGACACTTAGCATCAGTTTGTAAATGTTGTCTTTTTTGTCCTATTCCTCTCATAGACCGTGGTGTGATTCTGCCAGTGGGGCCAATACTGTCCTAACAAATTAACACTTGGTCACCTTTATTGCAATCATTATTATTATTATTATGTGTCAGTTTTATTTCTCAAAGAACCAAATAAAATAAACAGAGCAAAATGATTTAACTTTTTTTACAATACAAATTACAATATTTTGTAGATAAGTTTTACTGACATTTATCTCAAAGGTTTCCATGTAGAATTACAACTTCTGACATTAATATGAGGGTCAATTAGATATTTTATGTAAATTCACAGCATTTTAATTCACGGTCATACAAAGCCTTCAAGCCTAACCAACAGCTCAGACTAAAGATGATGATTTCATTTTTGTTTAAATGAAACCAAAAGCAACAGCAAATTTCAAGTAAGCTTGAGGCTGTCAGCACAATTTCCTATCCCATAGCTCAGTGAGTGTGAACCGCTGCATATTAATAAAAACACAGTTTTTTTGCTCTTCTCTTAACCTTTTGTCTGAAGATGGAAGTGATTTTGGAGGTTCTATCCTTATGGCTGGATCCCATTCTCCTGGTGGAAGCACAATAACCTCATCCAAGAATTCATCAATGCCAGCCAGCAGGTCTTGTCTGTCCTTGGCTTTGTATGCTATGTCATGGAACACCTAAAGGCAATTAGAAACAAGATAGTGTACATCACAAGGTGGCATGGTGGTACAGTAGTCAGTGATGCCATGCAGTGCTGGGGCCCTGGGTTCAATTCCAAACCTGTGCCAAACAGACAGCACCACATGTTCTCCCCATTTTAGTGTGGGTTTCCTCATTGTGCTCTGGTTTCCTACCACAGTCCCCCTAAAATATTTATAATTATAAAATTGTAATCAAATTAATAATCATAGCAGATGTGGACTTTTTGAAGGAAGAAAGAGCTCCTCAGACCTTCTAAAAAATTAGAATCTAGGACCCATGCATAGTATATAAGATGTACAGCTAAGCTTGCTTAATTTAGACATTTATTTTTTTGAAAACACAGACATTACTACAGCGCAAGATTAACCATTTAAAATCTGTTTTTCCTGTCATTATTTGTGAGTAAAATCAATTCATGAATTGAATTAATTTCCTTTTATATTAAAATGTTTAAACGCTTAAGCCCTTATCACCTCTTATCACTTGTTTAATCAAATTGGTAGAAAATTAACTACTAAACATTAATGCAAATGTTTAAAAGGAGGAAGCCTTTATTAAGCTAATTCAGTTTTCAAAATTATTTTGATTATAATATTTTATTTATTTATATATATTTTGAAAGAGAGCACACATTTTTTATCATTCCATACATTCTGTCATATACTGAAAACTTTACATCTTTACATCTTAAGGTGCCTAAAATGTTTTTGAAAGAGAAGTTACAGTAGGTCCTATTTTCATGTGTTTACAGTCAATAATGTCAACTTACAAGAGAGAAAAGTATCAAATGCTGTCTGTACAACATTGTTCCGAACTGTAGCAGAAATCTAAAGTTTACATATGGGTTTTGGATAATATACAACATATTAATGTATAGTAATACAGTATATCTCAAGTGAACTATTGAGTGGCATTAAGCTTAGAAAACAGATTTCTATAATATTTGCTATATTCCTACATATTTATATGTATACAATCATTTTAACTTTTTTCTCTTTAATTAAATAAAAATTAATTCTTTGTAGTGTGGCTCTTATAAAAGAGACAAAGGAAAAGGCTCAACCCAATAATGGTCTTACAGGACAAATCTGTCAAAGACAAAATCTGATAAATACTTTCTGGGCGCAGTTTTCACAGGGAAGTCACTAATTTTGTTTCAAAATGTAATTTTAGGAAATCCTGTTTTTGTGAATGTTTGCTTTTCTAACTACAGTGCTTGCTTATGTTCAACAGATGGTGCAACTGGAAAGTACTGTATGTTGATAGTTAGCTTTAATATTCATAACTGTAGTCGAAGTCACACACTGAACTTTTGGTTCAAACCAAAAATAAGGGTTAAAATAAGTATACGAGAAAAAAGTCAATATTAGGGAAATAGAGATATGCAGGGCTTGTAAACATTCAGTACAACTTGAGGAAACAACAAAACCTAGATTAAAAGATAATTGAGATACATTTGTAGATTTGAGTACAGGATCTTGGTCATAAAGCTTCTCTGCAATACTGAAAAAACTAATTTTATCACCAGAAATACAAGATTTTGTTTTTATAGACTTGTGGGAACAATGTAGTTAGTTACTTAATGCATCAAAAAGGAGTTACATTATCCACAATTTTCTAATCTGACCTAATTTTTTCTAATGACTCTAAAATAAGTCTTGACGCATACAATTACTGTTTGAAAGCCATCATTACCATATAAATTATATTTATATATAATATATATTTTGATTAGATTTTCTTAAATGGAATGCAGTAGTAGAATACATTTTAATTAATTGGTGTGTCTATTATGTTTTTCCATTTAGAAACAAAGTGTAAAATTCACAAGTGAAAGCTTTCTAGAGAAAAACATTGTTTTAGTAAAAAGGTTACATCCTTATATCTTCAGAATAAAAGCTTGTGTATATTGTGATGAGTGGCCAGTAATAAGGAACACTTATTACTGAACTAATACAACAATTCTATTTGCTGTACTGCCGAAAAAACAATGAAATATTCTAGAACACACAATTGCCTAGAGAAATAAGCAAAAGGAAGGAAAGTGACAAAGAAGAATAAGGATAAAATGAAACATGCCGCATGACCAGTGATGAAATTCAGTGAAGACAACTTAAAGCACTTTTTTTGCACAAAAAAGATCCTAATGTACTGTATGATAAATAAATACTACATTAATTCTCATTTACTTCATTTTCACAAGAGACTGGTATACACTAGTCACTTTAACTTTTATAGATTCCTGGACCACCAATTATCCAAATTCCCAAATCCAAGCATGGTGTAGTGGCTCTTTTCCAGTATTCTCTAATCTTTTAATACATGCCATGTGTCCAATGATTAGCCCTGAGAAACCATTGCTGTACCTCAAAGCTACAGTACTAAAGCTGTCAGTCAGGGAAAAACATGGACAAGTACACTTCTAAATTGAGATTTGTTTTCTGTTTTTAATACAAAAAAATAACATTTAAAACTGAGACTTTACAGAATGTCCAGATTTCAATTAAACATGTTTAAGATGCAAACGACTAAAATTGTAAGACAGCACGTAATCAAAAGGTAAAAGATGTCAAGACTTAAATTAAATTAATAAGCATTAAATTAATCCTTTAAAGTGAAAAAAAAAACTAGAACAGTCTAAAGAGGATTTACCAGTAAATGATACCAGATTAAAATTCTATAATTTGCTAGTTACCTTGTTAAATTCATTTGCACTAGTGCCTTAATGACTCCTATGTGTTACAGGATGGGAGCCCATTAATTAGTTATTTTGTGATGTCACGAAAAGAAGTCTTGTTAAATGAAACTCACCTAAGCAGAAGCACACCAAAGTATACTTTTAATTGTTACCAAATCTCCTGCCTCCTGGGACCCTCTGAGGAAATAGGTTGGCCCATAATCTTTTTTGATCTCTCCAGACCCAATTTGTAATCTTACTACTGATGTAATTAACCCATCTGAAAGTTTCCATTAATTAGCGGCACATTACCATCCCGTTTAAAACGGACAAAAGTCACCAGCACGCGGCACACGTACCTCGTCTGACATGAGGGTGGCTATCGCCCTTCCAATTTCATGGTAGGACTTGGCTTTGCCTTTAGGTCCCAGTAGGATAAACAGGAATCTGATAAGGAGAAATGGTTTACATTTTTAGAATAAGGAAATCATGCAGTGGGTAAGTTTGTGCTAGACGCTTATCGCGATCACTTCCTTCAGATGCAACAGCCCCTTAGTTTGTGCTTGTGAATCTACAGTATGTCTGTGGCTCATAAAATCCTGGGAAAAAAATAGTTTCTTCTGTTTCTTGTAATAAACGTAGGATACATGATCATAATGGGGCCCGGTCTTTGTTGTCACGAATCTCATCATTTTGTATCTACTTGTTTTCACAGATTATCTACCATGGCAAATTAAAACATTTAGTTGAATTCAGCTTCTGAAGTGTTTTTTTTTCCAACCATTAAATGTTATTATTTTCAGAGCCAAAGTAAACACCTAAAACAGTTTGACAAAAAAGATTAATATTTGGGGGGGTTCCCATTTCTTGGCAGCAGGATGCTTAAACGTGAATATGAAGTAGTCAGGAAATAACCAATAACTCATTTTATCTAACTTTACCTATACCCTTTAACTTGATTTAAGTTCATTTCTCTCTAGGGTGCTATAAGCCACATTTATTTGAATTTGAAGTAATCACCAGATAGTATCATCTTGCATGTCCGCAATTATATAAAAGAGCAGTTTGTGCCGGATTTCCTTATTTTGGTTAGATTTGTCATGCTGTAAAGGTTAAAATTTAAAACGTACTTCATATTTCAGGTCCTCACCATTTAACATATTCACCTTTTGTCAAAATATATAAAAACCAAAGCTAAGATTGTTTTTAAAATGTCACAGTACAAAACTCTTCCAAAATATTACATAGAAATACAATGGTAAAGGTCCTATTCTAACCAAATTAGTATTCAATTATCAATTTGAAAAGGGTTTTAAATAGCTTAAATAATATACCATATTTATAACATGATGCACAATAGTTTTCATCTCTTATGTATGTGACCTGCCTTAATACAATTCCTTCAAATAACTTTAAAGGACTCTTTCCTTATGCTGTAGAAGCATGTCACAATTGACCATTTATTATTAAAAAAAGGTTACATCATTGCCTCTGGATTAAAGACATCTGTCCGTGAAAAGAGGGGGAAACATAACATAATCTGGAAAATACTTAGATGAGAATTATATGTAAGTAAACATTGTACTACATACTGTATACAGTATATGTAAAATGTTGTATATGCAGTAAGTAAGCTAAATAATATACTGTAGGATGGGTGGAATGAGGGAAAATTCATTCATAGCATGCTTGGATACATGGAAAGATTACTTCTTTAGAATGCTGGTGTAGATAGTTAAAACTCAGTTTGAAGGATATAATGCTAGAAACTTTCAGAATTATGACTCAAGTGGATATACAGTAGAAATGGTAAGCGTTCACAAAAATGGCCTCAGTGGTCAGAATGAATTGTTTGCCAGAGGCGGATGCTCGAAGTTGTCGTGTTTGTAACTCCTCTCAATCGATAAATATAAAAAACCAAGAGCTGAAGGAGAGGTTGATTTAACCGTCATGACGATAACGGGTGTCAACATTCAGTGGAATTGTCTAACCTGAAAATATTTTCTGGCCGGTTCCTTTAGGTTTTTTTTTTCTCTCAGAAACATCTACATCTCTTACCTTGTTGGAACCGGAACTTCGGTCAGAGCTCCCAGCATGACTGCTTGCTGCAGCCGGACAAACGCCACAAAGGGGCTGTCCAGGAAGTCCACTTCACCCACCAGCACATTGGAGGCCTCCGCATCCCGGGGCAGTTTTTTCATGAACTTGTTTTTCAGCTTGCAAACGACAGAAAGAATGAGCAGGCCAATTAAAATAACAAGCTTAAAATGAAACCCCTCACACCAACTTTTTGTAATATACATCCATAAGAGATTAGAACTTAATTTAAGTCAATGTGAAAAGTAATCATATTTTTCCTGGAATCTTTAAATACCATGCAATTTTGCTTTCAATTAGGCCAACATATAGGTTCAGCATGACATTATGTGCTAAGATATGATATGTGGAATTCATGACTTTTAAGATTCATTTGGATTCATATTAATGTTTCAGTTTATATTTATTTACTGTATACAAAATAGTCACCTTCAACCACTTAATATACTGTAACTGTGTATAATCAATTAACTGTATATCAGTAAAACATTCATGTTCTGAAAAAATAATTTACCATTTAGTTGAAGTAATTATAAAATAAGGACACTTCTGCTCATATAGTAAGTTATCAATTACTTTAAATATTACAAGTTACTTAAGTGCATCTTAAATAACTATGTACTGTAACATACATTATCAATCAATGGAACAGAAAAGGTGTTAGCTGATTCACTGTTTCACATCTACTTGAGCAGGGCACAGTACTCCTTCTATCAAAGTGATCATGGTAATCTCTCAAGACCTTCAGTCTACTACTGTACTGTATGTTGTTATAAAGATTTTCATTTGTATTGAATGACAGCCTAATTACATTTTGTAAGAAAGAGTAGAATTAACATTAAAACCAACTTTCAGTCTGACATTGTCAGAAATATAAAGTTTACAGGTCAATGTACACACAAGTGACTAATAAAACTTTAAATAAGATCATAAATTTGCTCATCAGTCAGAAAGCAAATGTGTGTATTATATATTTCTAAATTTCTAAATGACTGAGTAAAACACTATTTTCGAATACTTTCAAACAGAAAGAACTATAGAAGACATACTGTATACAATGCAAAACATTTAAATACGGAAAAGTTAAGATAGAGAATTATTTTCAGCAATAACCTTCTTACAGTGTACAGTAGTTCCAATCTGACAATGCAAGGGCAACTTACTGTAGTTCAGTAAGTATTCTTGGAGTTGTCTTAGTTATGTGTTATAGTGCATCTTCTCAACACATGTACTGTTGAGAAGTGCCAGAAAAATTAAGCACTTGTGCCTAAATGACTATTTAATTCTTGGCCAAACTGCTTGCCAGATTTGGATGTGCTGGAAGCTTTAACTCATATAAGCATAAATGGCTGAAAAAATGAAGTGATTTAAAATGTCAGCTACATTTTGAAATAACACTTTCTTTTGGAACAAAAAGAGCCTAATTCTCCTCTAAAAAGTAAGAAGAAAAAATATTTTAGCAGTTCCCCAACAGTGACACAGCTCCCCATGCAACCCTCTTCAGTGCCTCTTAAGTCTTTAGGAAAAGACAGCGAGGGAATGTGATTCAAGTTTTCAAAATCCTTAATGCTAAATTAAAGTCAACTCTAGTTTAATAGTTTTTTGCTCAAAAAGATGCATAAAAAGCTTTGGGGGTATGAAACCTACAGGTCAGCCACAGCGATGATGCAGAGTTCCTGAAAATCTTGAAGAAATGACTAAAAAGAAGGACTGAAAAGCAAATTTTGGGGAAGCAATTTGTTACGAGCAATACAACATTCAGGATAGACCAAATGGTCTTCTCTTGCTGTAATCATTATAGACTTGTGTGGCAGAGAAAGTTTTCTGTGAAATACTTTTGCACGTAAGACTATATCCCTGTATAAAACATAATTTAAAGTAACACATAAGAACTGTAAAGACCAGTTAATAAACTAATTAACTAACTATAACCCCAAATAAAGAGCATTATTAAGGGATTTACTAAATCTGATTATTAAAATTAATTTGCAATGAAACATTTCTAGACAGTTTTACGTAACAACAAACCTTGGGAAATGCATTAATACAAACAAACCTAACTTGATGCAAAGCATTAAAGATCAAAATAGTTAAAAATTTGGCAAGCAATCGTAATGTGTTAAAAAGCTTCAGATCCTCATGCCATCCCAATGACATTTCATTAAAAGCATTCTGTCCAAAACTATGATTTCTACAACATCCACTCAATAATAATTAGAATATTAACAGTAATCTGTAAGATACAATGTAAGGAATGCTGAGTCAGTATTCATGTCCTCATTGTAGTATGCAGCCTTGCACTGTGCAATCGGACATTGACAGCCTTTGCAATTAGTTCACAAGGACAGTCTTCTTAAGGACGTAGAGCAAATCTTCTGGAAAGGTTCAGGTTGTACTGTTCTTGTAATTGGTACACACAGTATAGGCATGAATAGTACTTTTGGCTGTTTATTCTAATATCAATCAAATAAGTAAACAACTACAACATACAGCCTTCATTTATCTAATTCGTGAATGAATACTGAAATGCATTTCTGGATTTTCTTTTCTTTTATTGCAGAAGCAAGATGGTGGCAAGAAGGGGAGGGATAGCTGCAGGTTTTTTAAAACTTGGAAACGTTGACTTGTTTCTATTGAACTCTTGACAACTAAAAGTTATTTCTCAGTACAAGGTGTCAGAAGATTACACACACATTTAGCTGGCAACAGTAACAATGAATGTGATGGGGATAAAAACAGCTTAATTCCACCCTGAGAAGTAAAAAGAACATTTAACACCAGTGGCATCTCCCAGTCCAGACAAGGTTACAGGACTGAAACAAGGATTTTTATTCCAAAATCTGATTATATTTTTATAGCATTTCTAACTGTACAAATGAAGCCACTGTTTAAAAGAATAATTAAACAAAAAGAAGCTGGTAAAAGGCAGAAATCGCCTTCTGTAGTAATAGAGCATAACTAGTACAGAAACCGATAGAGTAGAATCTGTATGACTTCTGTGTTAAATTCTATGTAGAACAGACTGTAGTAATAGTACTAGAATATAGTAGTACAGCAATTATGGAGCATAAAAGCACTGAAAGGGCACAAATTCAGCCCTAGGCGGGTGGAGCCTCACAAAACCTACATGTTACAATGATGAACGAGGAATCACAAACTATCAATTTGATCCAGGACGTCAACATAATATGAAAAACACGTGAACAACATGAAAACTTTAACCTGCATGTAACTTTTACAATTTAAAAGTGGTTTTAAAGATAACTGTTGTTTTATCTCTTTGGAGTCTCTACCTGCATTTCTGCAAAAAATGCATTTGCTCTTTATACTGTATGTGAGCACTTTCAAAATTGGCTTGAAGTATAACAAAATGGAACAAGAATCAGAGACTAATGCCTCACCATGTACACCGCTGGTGTAATTTGTCAGGAATTGATTGAGATGGAGATGGGATGTATTTTTCACTCCAACTGTGCGTACATTTATCAGAAATGAAGAGAAAGTTACTTGAAGACAGTGCACTCCTAAAATCTGGCAAATAGCTGATGCGGCTAATAATTTCAGCAAAAAAATACCTTGATTGTTTTACACACTTGCTCATACCGTTTTTACTGTATGATCATGAAAAGTCTGGTATACTCAGATTGGTTATCATTTTTGGTGAATGATCAAATTCTAAGATTAAATGTAACAGACATACAGGTATGGCCTTCTTTCTTATAGCCTCCTTTCTGTTGTTTGGTTTAAAATGAAAATCTTCTGTTCTATATCTCTGGTCAAGTTACACTGTGGAGTGCTGGTAGAAAAAAACGTTGAACAACAGTGGCAGTTATGAGGTACCCGCCTGGAGATCTGCAACCCCTGGGTGATCTGAAAAGCACTATAAAAATGAAGGTTAAGTTGTAATTCAGTCTAGCCAAGCAGACCGAACTAACCATTAAGCCCTACCACTGCTAGAATTAAAACTTGAAAACAACTAAATCAAAATCGAGTATGAGCTTCAGTAAGTTACATTTTACTACACAACTATCACCTTACCATCTCCTTTACAAAATATCTAAATAAAGGGCTCCATTAAGACATATGAGGAAATGCTTTTCAAAATTGGATTATTACTTTTTGCAACTAAATGAATATCAGAAACAGCATGACACTGTACCAAGTTAAAAATCAAGCTGTTTAAACTTTGAACTCTGACTGCCTGTTTCAATAAGGTGCTAAAGTGTATCTGTCAGGTTTAATAACTGCTGTAAACTTTCAAAGTTGTATTTATTAGTGTGTACAATACTTTTCCTACTAGCTGAGCTGAACACTATTTAACCTTGCAATTGTTCTAGTAAGTACTAAGTTACCTTATTTCACTGCTTTTCAATGCATTCTATACTGTACAAATAAAAACAATGACAACCTATGTTCTGTGGCTGATATGTATGCAAAAGTTTTCATAACAACCACAAGTCTATTAGGAATTTTTAAATACTGTCCAATGCTGTTATTCATTATGTGACTGTTGCTTCTTAAGGTACCTTCCATAACAGCTTTGTATTCATTACTGTAATCACACAATTACAGGGCTAACCTGACCAAACACACTAATTAATTCAATTAATTCTAGATACTGTAACATGGCAGGTCTGTATCTGCCTTGAAGAACATTATATTACTCAGGAGAACTCACTCAAGCAAAACAGTTTTTGCAAGCTAGAACATGGTTTCTTCACAATGAGAACTATTTCCTGCTTTTGAGGAGGGTCAGCTCATTGCTAAGTTTATTGAATCATAAAAAAGAAAAACCTGCTTTATTTGATACATCTCTAATGCATTTGGCATTTTAATACTAAGTCTTCTAGAGATATGAATATCAATACAAATCTTTCTTCAATCAATCCTGAATATAATGTATTAGAGTCTTTCTTAATGTATCAGAAGTGTTTAAAAAGTGTCCATTTTAATCTAGAGATGATGATCAACAAGTCCTTCATAAGTCAACAACTTCTTCATAAGTTTTAAATCCACAAGTTAGACAAGGCAATTATCTTTATCGGTCTGGTAGTTATTTTATTAACTATTATGGTAGTATGAAGGCATTTGACATGCAGTAAATTAAAAAAAACTCAGATTGCCAGGTGATAATTAACAAAAGGCTGGAATGTTTTTCTAAGGCAGAATGATAAATAGGGAAGGGTATTTTCAGGTTAATTTTTCAAAAGCACTGCTATTGAGCTGACAAAGTTTCTGTTTAAAAGCATGACTTAACAGAAAAATATATTTCCTAATGTTATTCTCAGGTCACTCAGGGTCATGTGAACATTGTCTATGTACAGCAGTCTGCAAACAATTTTGAATAGTAAAACTCAATTCATGGTTTGAGCCTTCTTTGATTATGGCATCCAGTTTTGACTGGTTCTTTATCAGTGCTTATAATTTCACTAAGTTTCACATGAATTCCTTTTGGCTTTAGCTCTTAAGAATTAAGCAGCATACCAGTCACATTGTGACATTAACTCTGGAATATACAGTTACAACAAGAAGGATTCTGTCTGTTTTGAGCGGCACTGAAAATGATATTAAATAAATAGGGAAAATAAAGAAAGGATTAATTTGATCTCTCAATAATGTCAAAAAACAACATATAAACAGTTATAGAGACATTTTAATAAGTCACTGCATTGTTAACTTATGATTATCAAGAAATCCCAGAAGATATTCAAGTATTACACTATATACACTACCTTATACTTTGCTGTGAAAAAAAACAACAATCACAACTACAATATGTCATCATTCACACAATGTCCTGTACTGTAAAATCACCTTTCCTCTTCTTGTCTCTTTTAAACTGGGGTATTGTTAGATGTATAATATTGTAGACACTATCTACAGCTTGGGATCATTGGAACTCTTCATGCCAATGCATTAGAAATTAATATGTTTTTTTCTACAGTCAGACTTTCCCATATTAGCCTCTTGTTACTTATACAAGGAATAATCCTTCTTTTGGCAAGAAAGATTACAATATCAAATCGCTTTAAGCTTAATAAGCACAATAATTGGAAGTTCCAGCATGTAACTAACAGTGTTTGTGTGATTAGGAGTCCTGTAAAAATGAGAAGAGCAGAGAGCAGAAATGAGCGTCATGGAATATTAAAAGGCTACTGTTTTGCATTCCAGTTATATCGAAGTCATGGTCTTGCATGAAAATCCACAAGAATATCCAAAAGTTGCCCTTATTGTTGAAGATAAATAAGGTCATGGTAAAGTCCCTCATCTTATCTAAATAAAGAGTTTACCAAGGCACCCAGGCAAGAACTGTGAAACATGACAACATGTGGCTCTGCACGTGCAGTGTGGGGTAGAATGTGAAGAGGAGGGCAAGGTGAGCAAGTTAATAAACAGTCAGTGGAATTCAAAGCACAATCAGTAAAAGAAGGATTGCCCAAACATCCAAAACATCAAGCAATGGAAGTGCTTTACATCTGATCCAGGTGTTTTCAAAAACACATGAGACAGTGCAAATTAGTGAGCAAGAGAGCTGATCAAAGAGCAGCACCACAGCCATTCAACTCTTTTATAAAAATAAATCAAACTTAAGCCCCTCTAACCAGATCATCAAAGCGGTGGAAGCATTTATACAATTCAAGGAAGTGCCACAAGAAACCAGCTGGCACAGTGAAGGGACACCCTAGCTGTTTATTTCATTTCTGACTGCATGGCTTATGCGAGTTTACTGTACAATCCCTTGCAGTGACGTCCAACTGTCCTACATTGACCTTAGTATTTAGATATACAAGCTGTTGCTTTTTCCAGGACACAAGTCCTAATTCCCTTATTTATACACAAACGCAAGAAACACTTAACAGCAGAGCACTACTGTAAACTGCACATCTCTGGACGAATGTCTTAAGTAGGTTTCTTTGTTATACAGTAAATACTGATGTGCCAATTAAGATTTTTGTATGCATTCAAGACAGATAGTCCAACAAGGACTTACAAACAGCAACATTATTTTTCAAGTAATTCACTTTTGTTATTAATGAAGAGTTAGACAGCCTGTTAAACAGGTTACAGGCTCAGACATTCTATAAAGGAGTCTCTTATGTTAAATTAAAATTGTCCATTATATATGGTTATGGTAAATGTTTCATTTTTTTCTGAAATCCAGAGAACTACATTATTAATATACAAACAGTATATATACTATATATAATATATATAGTTTATATATACTCTTCAATTTAAAAATGTACCTTAACAACATAGATCTTAAACGTAAGTGATTCGTTATTTTAGGAATACTGTAAACTAATTTACTGCTTTTATAAGCCCTAGCATTATGATACTTACCAAAAGTTTTGGCTTTCCTAACTGACCACATAACATTGGTCCTTAAAAAATAAAAGAAAAAAAAACACTTGCCTGATGTCAAATTAATGTAATGATAAAAACATGATTGATAATAATCTACAGTAAACTACAGTATGGGTGTTACATACAGTAAAATATAATTAATAATATTATTATCCCAACAACATATTGCCAACATTTTTGCTCTACTGTATGTTCCAACCACCGTGTGTGAAAACTTTAATTTATCTACTTGTATAACCTGACACAGAGATTTCAGAGAATGCCCATTAGGCACAGTGCTCTGAATCAGCACTTCAAGAGAAATGTCTGATGGGTGTGGAGGAAATGTGGTAGGTCTTACTGTTGATTTTGGACTGCATTACATATTAAAATTTCACATCAGAGACACTATAACATCACATAGTTTGGTTTTAAATGTGTAAACCTAACATCATATGCAAATACAGCTGCATTTCCTGTAATAATATACCATCTATGTGAATGGTAACAACATTGCAAATTCAAAGAGGCACCAGCTTTCAGTAAATGTTACAGTACATCCAAAGGTAATGTTTTGTTCAGTCTTCTCTATGGCTCATTTCAACCTTATGCATTATGCCCTTTAGGATTATGCACATACTGTATAGGAAACAAATTAAAAAATCTCTAGGGAACCATACATTCAGATATTAGTTGTCACTTGTACTCTAGATATCTTCTACCAAAAGGGGCTATCAAAAAATGTTATTTTTATTGTATCAACAAGATCTACAAAATAATGCCTACTTAATGCTCTCATATTATTCAGGTACCAAATCACAGTTCAATCTGGGTAATATGAAAATCCAACCATCCACCCATTTATCCATTATGAGAAAGCATGTCAAGACAAGAGGCAGTACAAAAAACTGACAGAGCACTATCCTGACTTGATAGGCTACATACCAGTAGGACAAACCCTCCAATGCTATATCCATCTTGCCTTCTCAAGGCTATTTTGACCTACCAGCAAGGCAATTTTATTTACACGCACAGTTCATGAAAAGAAGAGTCAAATTATTAATCACAGTTATTCTAAGAATTTGCATTTATCAGTTCTCCCTTGAGCAATAAAAGGTTAAACAAAAAAAAACATCTCACACAAACAAGAAAGAAGTCCAAACAAAGATGTTTATTTAAATGGACCTTGGCATATAAAGCAATGGATAAACATCAAAATCATAACAAATGAGGATTCACAACATGTGACATTTATTTGAAGTACTTACTGTATTATAAGAGGTACACCTTAGATGATCAGCATCATCAAAGTCAGCAATTATACTGTTTTTATTGTAGACTAAACCAAGATTTCTTTGACCAGTTTAATTAAAATGTACTGTAACTACAAACGTTATTCGTCTTGCATCAGACTAAATGAAAAGGCACAAATGCTGTGCATATTTTGTATCAAAGAGCTATATTTTCACATTTTATATTATAATATAGAATATTAAAACTTAAGAGTGGGGAGCCATGTCAGTGTGAGAACTGCTTAATAATAAGTTGAATTCCATACTGAAAAGTAAAAATAAAGGAAATTCAATATTTCACTTGTGGAGCCTCTTCTCTGTGTTTTTATTTCATTCTTTTTACTTATCAGTGCAGAATTAACCTCTACTTGTTCCCATACCAAACTTCACAGAGATTATAAGGGGATTATCCTTCCCTCAACTGTGACTAAAGTACAGTTATCATCAATCCAGACGTTAACCCCTGTAATTTTCTATAATTTAACTGCCACAGCTTTAGTTTGTAAGTATCGTACAACTGTCTATTAAAGGATAAGAACTTCAGTTTAGGAAATTATCAAGGGGCACCTGACTTTACCTGTTTACAGGCAACTACAGTATTTGCAGGTAAAGGATGCACTTTAAGGAATGCAATTCAGGAAATAACAGGAGCCATCAGAAGGGAGGAGAATTATAACTGTTAATTTCATTAAATGCATGTGAGGAGCTGTTGTACCATGTCTGCGGCGTAAAGGGTCAGTCTGACAATGTGATGTAGATGTTAAACATATATACAGCATTATGATTCACCACACTCTGTTTCTCCAGAGTCCAACATTTAACCACAGCACATGTTTTTGTCAAAGGGAAACTAAACTAGTCTACACGTATATACCGCAGCCTACAGTGTACTGTTACAGAAGTTGTGATCTGTCAGTTTTTTACAGTTCTGATCACTTATGCTTATTTGAACATTAGGAGTGGTAGCAGGCATCAGCACTTGTATATCCTTTAAAATAAAAATAAATTAGGTCAGCACACCTACCTGCTCCTTCTCTGGTTTATCAGAAATGTCATTCAGGCTGCTTGATGTCAGGTTTCGGTGGGCAGTTGTTGGACTACCTAAAGAAACAAATGCCATGGACTTGTTAATGCAATCTCAGCCATCTCAAATTAACATATAATGGAATGAAAGCTCAAGTACCAGAAATGGCAGCAGCATCTCAGTTTACTCTGGAACTGAGGGAAAGATGGAGTCAAGCAGAGAATGAATTTAAAATGTTCTTGTTTGGTTCATAAATGAATCAACCATCGACTGGGGCCCTAGAATATCTGATCATTTGCTTGTTGCCGCTACTGCTTGGAAACAGAAATCATTTCAATCTAAATTATTTTTTCTTCAATTAAAGATAACAAGAACTAATTTAAGTGATGTTGGTTAATATATGAATATTTGTGTAATGTCCAAAATATAAAGCATTATATCTGGGGACAGTAGCCTGTTTGGGTACTAAATCTTTCCTCCTTTAAGGAGAATGTACAGTACTCTCATAGGTAAGTGGGAGAAAGTTGTCACAAAGATCTGTGGGTTGTGTGCCTTGTATCTCCTGCAAGAGGTGTGGAGGGCCAACAACTAACCAATGCCTAGGCATAGCCTGATGTAGGTCAAAGAAGTTCACTGAGCTCCAGAAATGGAGCAAAGGAAAACTACTCCTAAACCAGATTCCAGCCTAAATGTTTCAGGGGTTCATTCATCATTCAGATTTAGATTTATAGAGGAAAACAGTCTGAATTACATTTCATTAATACAAATCTTGTTAGGACATCCAACAATTAACAATTAGTCCTTAACAATTAACTAACTGCCTGAAATATTTAATATGCTAATCTAACGCCAGCCAAGGTGATTGTATATGAACCAGAAACAAGACATAGTGACATACAAGAAGGATACTTAAAAAGCAGAATAGAGTGGAAACAAACTATTGCACCTGTGATTTTCTTCTAAAAAGCTTTTTAGCTTTTTAGCTCTTGTATCCACTTTCCTCATGCTACGTCTTGTGCTCTAGGATGATATTTTTAATTGTCAGTTTGGTGCAGCCACTTTGAAAAAAAACATTTCTCATTTGCTCTCCTGGGGGTGATAACACTTGCCATTTTGTTTAAAAAATAAGGTTGCAGCATATTTGAAATGGTGTGTATGTATGAGAACTGCATGTGTCCGTGCCTGGTAGTGGTCATTGGAAATTAGGTGCCATTCAGGGTTCAGTTACGTTCTGCATCAGCGGCAGCCATTCGCAGACGCGGCACAATGTGTTCTACAGTAAAGCATAAAATGTATCCCACTTGAAGGCCAGGGATTCTAAAACAAAACATTGTTTTGAGCACTTTATAATCTTTGATGATAAAGTGTGAAGGTTAAATCTGCAAATTAATTATCAAACGGAGCCAATTGTTAACTAGCAGATAGTTGGGCCTGTTGATAAGCCCAACCACTCATCACTTCAAAGTGCACCTTCAATATAGTTCTGATAAGACTGGACAGCTGCCAAGAAGCATAAAACTGACAGCATTAATCTGATTCCATGTGTTTACTTTTAGGCTACTTTATTTTCAAGATTTAATATAAGAAATGAAAGTGACATGCTATTCACAAGTTCTAATGTTCCTTGAGGTCACTCAACTTCAATTAAAATAAAAAATACATTTGCTGTATGTCCAGTAAGATATCTTTGAAACTTTAAATTTAAAAATAAAATTGCATGTTTGCATTTACATTGAATAATTTACAACATAATAAATAATACTGATTTAATAAGGCCTTAACTTTATAGGTCCTAAAAGCCGAATTTCATGACTGAATTCACTTGTTTCAAATTAATTCACCATTTACCATTTTCAGAAACATCAAAGGCTGCTGTATTATGGCAAAAAGTCCCTTTCAACTTACTAAGCCATCCCACGCTCGAACTCCGCTGGACTCGAAGGTCCTCCTCAGAGGTGCGGATTGTTAGACAAGGCACAGAGTTTTCAAGCGGACTACGTGCTTTAGTGGCAGAAGCAGATTTGGAGTTCACGCAGTAGCAGCAAGGCAGGAAAAGGAAGGAAAGAGAGTAAGTGTGACAGAGCCAAAAAGCAAAGCAGTAGCGGTTAAATAAACACATGGAAGTTACAAAAAAATCCATTAAAATATGAACAAGTCTCTGAAGCTTTATGGTGCAGAAAAGACAGAAAGGCATTTCAGAAATTTATTATGAGTCTAAATCCCAAGTCACTTTGGTTGAGGGAAATTATAATTCCAATCTAATGTGAACTTCAGAAGTTTTTTGAATACCTAATATCCTCCACATTTTCTTGCTCACACAAACTCCTGTGAACAATCCCAAATTGCACTTGTTAAAGCATATATGGTATTTACCATATACCTTTGTTTTTACTTACTAGATCTTTGTTTTAAGACAACTGAGAATGAACGGGCATAGACAGACAAAATACAAATCGACACAAGTTGAAATTAAATATTGTTTGAGAGATTTTTTTTAGAATAGATTTATTCACATCTAATTTTATTCCAAAGAAAACAAAACAGTGTTTTGCTGGAAAACACCAAAGAAGCACAAATATCAACTGGCAACTTTACCTACCAATTACTGTAAATCTGAATACACTAAAGCTAAATTATTAACTAGGTGGGGATATGAATAAAACCTAGAACACATAAACTAAAGCTGAGCTTGGATATCAGACATCTTGTACCAAATATCAACATGAGAAGATACCTCTCTACAATGAAAGGATACATACTGTACTACAGTATACCTTAAGAACAAATTACTTTCGCACTTAATATGATCACAAAACAATGCTGACTTTGAAAACTGAGACAAATGACTGAAACTGATTAAATTGCCATAAAACCTTTATCCATTTATCCAACAAAGATAAATCTACAAATCAGGGATCATTTTTTACAATTAATTTGTGTCTGCTCCTGTTGAGTTTCCACCACCTTGGGTATCTAGTTATGCATGCAAGCGAATGTTCAGCTTCTACTGTAGAAAAACACAGTGGTTCACCCTGCATGGTCCTTCTTTTTGGGAAATCCGATGGGAACCAATGTTCAGTAGTTAATACAGTCAGTGAAGGTTCATTAGATAAATCACCCTGCCAAGGGCACAAGTGTCAAAAGTGGGTAGTGCTATAAAATGTTGAATTAGTCAAGCAAAAAATGAGCTCTAGTATTGGCTGTGATGTTTTGAGTGCTTTAGGGAACAGTTACAGCATAATCTGAAAATTATTGTTGCCAACGATTTGTTAAAAAAATCAATGACATTTAACATCTTTTACGGCAGGGTGTAGCACAATAACTACCATAAATTAGATTTTGTTAGAAACGCGTGCACAATATTATACATATCTAAAAATATTACGCAATACACTCTCTGAGTTGGATTAATATCTTCTCAGTTTATATACAGTAACTGAAGACAGCAAAGGTTTTTTTGATATGATATAGTTCTGCACTCGGAAATAGAATGTGTTCTATAAACATTCAATCAAATGCAGCTCAATACGGTGTATAAAATAATAATCAATTATCAAAATGTAAATTAAAATGGGAAAATTCACATAAGGAATAGTAATCTATGAGGTTTCCAATAAGTAATCATACTTCTAAGAAGTATGATATTAGTTTTAACAATTTAATTGTACTATTTAAAGGCACAAAACAACATTTACTGTACATAGAAACTAAATTAGATAGCCATAAAACTTGCTGTCAATGTGAAAGAAATGAAAATTAGGTAATGCACTATTCAGCCATAATGTTTTAACAATTTTGTTTTGTTACATCTTTCCTATATTCATAGTACTGTTATAGCTATTTTATCTTCTTTATATTTTGTGAGGTTATTTTATCATCTATACCTAAAAAACACCCTATTACTAGAAATATTGTAAGTCACTTTTAATTATTGTAAACTCATTGTAAACTTTTAATTATTACTAAAATTAACTGTAGTACACACTACCCAAATTACTTGTGTAAAGGATTACATTTTAAAATTCATATGTCTAGGAGAAATTGTTTTTAAGAGATAATATATTACTTTACATAGTAACTAAATACACTGTATATTGTAGATAAAATATACTGACAACCTTTTAAAAATTATTTCCCACAACTTTTGTTAATTTAAAAAATAATCCCTTGCAAAAGTAACTTGAAACAGTAGTGGATTATTTTAACTTTCCCCAACACTTCTTTCTGGTTTGTTTGTATTTCTAACAACAGCAAGGATTTTTATTCAGATCTAAATGAGTTGTTTATATCATTAGTATTTTTACCCCTTTGTACATACAGTATATAGAGGTGGCTAATTACTATAAATTTGAATACTTAGAAGCCTGTATAAACAGCTCCTGCTTCAAGCATTGTGAAACATTCTCATAGTTCATAGCAAAAGCATGAGTATAAAAAACACCATAACATTGAATGGTGTTTTCTGTAACATACAGTATACCGTACAGTATATACACTTCTTGTTACATTTCTCCATTATCCATATGTGTTGTTCCTGCTTATATTATTATTTAATATGCCCATCACACATTACAACAAAAACACCTTTCTTCACAAAACACAAAATTTGAAAGGACCAGACTAGACCAGAAGTAGCAGCAGGAGAAAGCGTGTCAATGGTACACTATAATACCTTAGCAGTACTGTAGGTAAGAATGTCTAGGAGTAACACAAAAGCCAGGATGGGCTATCAAACCTTAGTATTAATGTCAAAAAGAGGTTTAAATATACTGTATTTGTACACTTCCTATTATTGTACAATATTTAATTATAAACAGTTACAGGTCTACCTATAATGGGTAGCCCATGCACTGAAAAACAAATATTTACCTTTATTATAAAATATTGTAGTTGATTTTACACAATCTGGCATGGTTTGTGTAGACTTTGAATGAAGTTCAAAATGATTTCTCAAAAATATTCATACTACTTCTTAAAACATGATTTTGGGAAATGCATGACTCATACCACAGCTCACTTCTGGATTGTTTTACAAAATCTTAATATTCTGGTCATATATTTCTGCAAGAGGAAGGCACTGTTAAGCTTTGTTTATTGAGCAGGGATAAAAGCTAGCCACAAAGACTGCAATAAAGCTCTGGATATCTATAATAAATCTATACTTTCCTTTGTCTTGTGATGTTGTGAACTATGAACATTAAAAAGGACTTGGTCACCTACTGTACATTAGTCACCCCAAGGAAAATCAAAACTTGGGGTAAAAAAGAAAGAAGAGGTGAAAAATAATTGTATGTATATACATACAAATGGTTGTAAGCAAGAAAAAAAGATGAAAGAATGGAAAAAAGATTCTTAAAAATAGTTTTAAAAAAGACTGCAACAAACTGGCATCTGTATTACCATTATCCGGGTTGGAAAACAGCCTACTTGCACTGGAGACTGTCTTGCCAATGTCAGCCAGTGACCGCAGGTTGGACTTCTTGGTCTGGTGACGATGCTTGCGTAGAAGTGTGTACATCACTTTGTCCTTCAGGTCTGCTTTCAGCTGGCCACTGTCAATCTGGCTGTCAGTGATCATTTCTACAATAAAAGGTCAAGACAGCTCAATCTTGAGCCTGTCACATATAAATTCATAAAGCATCCTCTCATGCCAACTTACTCACAAAAAATGAACTTTAAAAGATTATTAAAGATAGAACATGAGTGATACGTCACTGCTGAATTCTTTTGCGTATTATTTTATTTTTCTTACTGAATTTAAACATACATGCAAGTACATTTCTACAATGTCAAAGAAGAAAACCACACCCTGGACAGGACACTAGTTCACAGCAGGGCACACCACACTGTGGCACAATTTAGGGTATCAGTTAACTAGGCCCAGGCTATCTTTGGAAGGTGGGAGGAAACCTGAACATGAAAACCACTGAAACCCACCTGAAGGTGATGAAAATATACAAATTCCACCAGAAAGCGCCCCAGTCCAGAATCGAACTCACAACCCAAGAGCTGAGAGCAGCACTAACTGCTTCATCACCGTGTTGCCCAACAGCATTCCATTTCTCAAAAAACTGCATTGTGTGGCTGTCACACTCAGGCTCTCAAAACATTGTCTTCTTTGAATGTTTTTTTTATCATTTGCTAAAATCACTATATGACCAATAATCTCTCAATTCATTTAATCCAAGTCTTTTAAGCATTAAGGCCAGGCAGTCAAGAGAGCAAAACGGCCTGGTTCCCGCAACTTACCAACAACCTGAGGAAGAGTAGAAGCCTCCATGTCTAGCATGATGGTGCCTTTTTCTATACACGTTCTCAGCTCAAACAAGCTGTGTAAGGACAATGTGGCTACATGAGGCTTACTCCACCGTTCCCCTCCTTTCTCTACTTTCTCTTCAAACTTTATCCACCTGTTTCAAGACAGAAAGTATTCATCAGGCTGACATGTTTAAACATTTTTTACAATGACATCTTCCTGAGCCTTCTCATCTTAGATGGGACACAGCTTCTATTAAACCAGTAGTTCCCAATTCTGACCCTAGGGAACCAGACAAATGCTGTTTTTATTCAACCTCAGCAGTCAATTAATTAATTGAATTCTTAATATACACAATAATAGGTTTAAGTTGAACCCTTAACTTGTTTCAGTTCCTAAACACATAGGATGTTGTCATTTAATCACTGTGTTTCTTAACAGTTTAATATACCATTATTTAAATCAGTGAAGTACATATCTAATCCCTGTGTTTCTCTAGAAAATGTCTTGTTTATGGGTCCTGATCATGTAGAAAACTAGTGCATGCCCTGTTGCTGCGTTTAGAGACATATTTAAGTTTCAGCTGGAACAGAAGACCTGAAGAATGATCTTCAGAAAAATGAGCCTTCTTCAGGTACGTAAGTTATCTCCACATAGTGCACATGTGCATATAGTACTGCTATCAGTTATTTAAAGAAATACGTTCCTCAAAAAATAGAAAAGAAGAAGCTAAATAAAATTAATTTGTGATATGGAGCACTGTCTACGTTTTAGCCTCCTCGTTCACACAAAGCATTGTACAATCTGTGTTAAATGTAATTTGTATTGGTTCAGGCATTTACCCTTTTAGAATAATAAATGTACTGATATTAAGGCTGAACTACCTCTTTATAGAAAGAATACCCACTTTACCTCCTCACCTCATTCACTTTTGCTGCTTACCATAGCTTTTTTTAATCAGGCCGAGTAGACACGTGTAAAAATCTCTTCTGCTCTCATATTCACTCCAAATCCTGGAAGACTACAGTAAGTCTTTTGGTCTTCATTCCATCCTGGGCTCTTAATTATTGTATTTATATCAATTATTAACTTTATTGTTCTATACTACCGCTGTTTCCAGATCTCGTTGAGAATTATTTAATACCTATAAAACGTGATGGACTGGATAAGGAATGAATACCACTACCCTATAGTACCCAGTAAAGTAATCTGAGGGATGAATGCATTACTGATTTAAGTTCTCAGTAACTCCAGTGATGCCACATGGGGCGGCCCATAACAAGGGCACAGGTTCTAGAGAGGCCCCGATCACAAACACACCCCACACACAACATTTAAAGTGAAAAATAAGGTTTTAATTTATAGAAATCTTGTCCTGCACTAAAAGAGTAAATAACATCCTGCACTGTGGGGAAAAAATAAAGCTCCTCCCACAGGATTATGAGGAAAATACTGTAGTTATCTATGACACTGCCCTAGCCTGAGCTAGAGAGGAAAATAATAGTAACTTAGTGCTGCTCTTTCAGCCGGAGCAGGGGAAAAATATTAATTAGTAGCAAGCCTTCAGATGAGGGACAGATTCGGTCTGTATTGGCTAAAAGCTGAGTGGTCTGACAGGGCTCCTCCTAGGATTCTACTCCTTGTCAACACCCTCTCCTTCCCCTCTTGGCTGTCCATTTATACAGTCTGGAGCAAGATGTACAGCTGATCCTGCTCCAGTGAATGCTGGTGTCCTATCCACCAGCCTGTGATCTGCATGCTGCAATCGTGGACAGGAAAAACCACAGGAAAGGCCACACTTCATGAGGTACATCCCTATGCAGCATCACACTATAAAGTAATAAAAGTCATTAGGTATACTTAGACTTAAGGTCTCCAACCACAGTCATGGCCCCAGTTATAAACCGCAATTAAATCAAAAACTTCTATAGTGCTTGCAACATTGTGATCATTTCATTGTGATCAGTTATGCTTCTTATTCATTAAATTAAGCAATTTTAAGATAATATGGGACCGTAATCTGAGTGTCTTTCTGTCCTCATGGACTAGAAGTTTGTTCATTGAACATAATTATTTTTTTACTTCAACAGTAATTCACCATCATTTCATCAGTACTTTACAAGTAGTACAGTACCAGTCTTAAAAAACAGGTGACGTACTGTATCAAACTCAGTGGATTATATATCTACTGACAAGACTGGAAAACAAAATAATAAGAAATCTAGGATTACAATGTCATATAAGAAAATACATTTGAAGGAAAAAGGCCAAATGTAACTCCTATACATTTCCTCTTTAATAGCTCTGCAATCAAAAATGTTTTGTCTTCAGACAAACAAAAACATTTTATTATGTTTTTAACTTCCTTAAAATGTATAATTCTACCATTCTTCATGCAATTTTGCTTTCTACAAATTGCATTTTAATGTTTGATGTGGATTCTTACTTACGATGTTATTTATGTTATACTATCATCACTGAAGCCTCTTACAATATGATCATGTATTTTTATAATCAAGGTTAATCGAAAGCTTTTGATATTCCAGATTGCTCAGTTCCTCTTGAAAACATTGCATAGCACTGGTCCTGATATGGATTCCCTCTCAAGGTTTCTGAATTACTTATAGAACTGCATACAACAGGTAAAATCATTCATTTCACAACCTCTTTCAGGTATTAAGAAGGCTGAATGGAGCAGAAAAATCAAAGTATTGTTTTTATGCATTCAGTTGAAGGATACCACGACCACAAGGCCCCACCTTGCCCCTTGTAACCAAAAACAAATTGCACAAGAGAGGACAGCTTTAAAACAGAGTGATATGAGCTAACCTTTTAGAATAAAAAATATAGATGTTAGGCTCCCAGGTGGTTCAAGTAATAAATGTGCTTGCTACGAGCTGAGACTGAGCTCTGTAACCAAGACTCTGTGGATGTGAGTTGATGTCATACTACTAGTCGAGCGTAACCGGATTTCCCCTAGCAGCGTTACACAGTTGGCACACCGCTACCTAGTGGCAGGGCTGGGATTAGACAGCCACTGGAGGCTACTTTACGAGGCTATAGCATCACAAAACATTCCAAAATGTCATCTTCAGCAAATGATTTATGTTGCATGAACAATGCAAAAGCGAGATTACATTTGCAACATTCTGATTATATCTGATCAGCACAATCTGACTGACCAAATAATTTCCATTGACTGGATTAGGACACAAATCAAGAAGAAACACACTGTGCTATGTGACAACTACCGTTAAGTGGTAATTCAAGAAGCTTCATAAATTAATCAGAGAGTTGTTTAGTCACATTTGTTTCAAGCAGACATTATCACCACACAACAGATGCAGAGTTTACTCTGGTCACAGGTCAAACCAGAAACAAAATCTAAAGTATCTGTTTTAACCCTATGCCAAATTTATCATCCCTCCTTGGAAATAAAACATGAAATGAGCATTTTTTTATATGACATGGTCCTCTTTAATTTCTTTTTAAATGAACATGCAGTACATAAAATAATTTATTTCAATATTTCATTTTGACTACCAGCTTTATCCTTAGATGGTGAGACAGACCCTAACCCGGCACACACCATGGATGGAATACCAGTCCATCTTAGGGTCCACAGACAGACATATTTGGGGGGACATTTTAAAGATGCCAATTAACCTGAAAGCAATATTTCAACTGTGGGAGGAAAACAGACCAGCCTAAGAAAACCCACAGTGCCCTAGGGATAACATGCCCTGGAACTGAACCCAGGATATGAAGCTGCAGCACTAAACACCAGTTCAGTCGTTGAGAACATTAAAGGAAGATTATTGAGTCTACAGTATACTGTATGTGTTTCAGACAATCTTGCCAGGATTCTATTTTTAATCCATTACTATGATACATTTACTAATGTTACTAGAGCATCCTTTCAAATGGATTTTTTTTTTCAAAGCCTACTGCTGCACACCAACATTTTAACTCAAACGGGTGCTTGCCAAGTATTTCACATACTGTAGATCCATCCTGAGCAATGCAGCTACCAGATAAACAGCAACTTCTGTCTCACAGAAGGTCTGTTGTTTATTTTGATGGGTGAACTTTTAATAAATCTCATAAGTTGTATTTTATTTAGACTGCATTAAATTTTACCTTCAAGAGCAAAACCGTGTTAAATAAATATAATAATTAAATATAATAATGTTGTCTTGCATCATACTTTGAAAAAGAATGTTTTTATCCAATTCATCTGAGGAGTTGTATAGTCTTACTGGCAGTTTGTTATAGATTATTTTAGGGGTTCCTCCCAGTTAAATTTGTAATGCTTTTGGAAATAATTTTTTACATATTTATTTTTTCGACATTGATATATAACATTTCTTTTAAGATCAGCTTGCAAGCACTTATCAACATTAGTTACGGCGGAATCTGGTGGCCTACCACCAGATATCTTATTCTGCTGGATTCTGTCACACCAAGCAGAGCCAGTGTATTTCGTGCATACTTACCGAGCCGTTTCCTTCCATTCCATCTCCTGTCCATCTACAGACAGCAGTTCATCAAGCTCCGTGAAGAGCTGTGGGGGGGCTGGGCTGTCATCATCCTCCCCCAGAATGAAGCGAATCCTCTCGGCTGCCGGGGAGACTAGAAAAGGGAAAATACTCCAGTTTACTGCCTGGGAAGCAATTGTGGATGTGAGGTTCTTCTTCTTGTCCTCTTCCCCATAGCCATTCAATTCCATTGCCGGTGGCACCTTTCCTTTTGCCCTCAAACTGTTCCTGTCTCTGGAAAAAGACATCTCAACTCACTAAAGGATCAGGGGAGCCGTTTAAATGTGGAGCCGTTTAAATTCAGTAAATGTGGCTTATCTAAATGGCAAGCCCCCAGAGAGTCAAAATTATAGCTGGACATCTAAGTAGAGCTTTGAAAGCAAGATCCACCTGTACTAACTGCTTGTCTTCTTGGGTCCCCACTTTATAGCAGTCTGTCCCAGGTAAAGTGGACAGAATTAAATCTGACCACTGTTAGCACCCTCCTCCAGACCAAAAAAGTGCACTTCATCATTGGACTTCAGTGTGGCTTGGCTGTAAGCCCTCAAACCCCTCATTAACAACTAGGAAATGCTTCACAAAACTGTCCATTCTTCACAAGAGGGCTTTGCTTGCCTTCTCTCTTGTCTCCTAATTTGAATATTTAGTTAAGCATCACTGCACAGGAAAAAAAGGACTTGAGAATGCAATACTGCTGATATATAAATACATTTTCCCACTCTCTGGTAATTCATTTAAATTATGTTCATAAGTGTGATCACTTATATTCTGTATAAAAGCAGTTTCTTCATTCAAAAGAGGGTTAGAAAGACCAGAATCAACAGAGGTACAGCACTTGTGTAACCTCTGGTGCAGGAAGACCAGTAGGTACAGTTTCTCCCACAGGAGAGTTGGAACATCCGAGGTTCTGAAGTTACTTCTCTTCAAGTAACCATTTCAACTCCCCGCTTTTGCTTTTTTTACTTTGGAGTCATGAAAACGGCATGAAGATTCGATTAGTTTTAATTCGCTCTTCATCCAGTCATAGAATATGGACCTCGAACTTCATATGTGACAAACGGCAGAATAATTAGTTATGAGACTTCCTTCGCTTGAAATATTGTGATTGATGAGGAGTAATCAATATACACAACACACTGAAAAAGATTCATAGTAATTTGTGCATCAGTTTCACAATACATGGCATTTAAAAATATGCTTTGTATCAATGTCAGTCAATATTCAGTATTGACAATCAACCTTTCTTAAATTTTGACACTTCCCTTATACTGGTGCCTGCTTTACTAGGTTTTGTATTTTTAACAAATAATTATTCTACATCCAAATACATTTAAGAGAAAATAACATAAATGGCACTTTTGTGTTTTAACAAACTGTCTCATCATGTATCCATACCCTACAAAACAATGCTGACAATCCTGCGTTAATATGATAGCAAATTACACTGAACAAACTGTTTCCAAATTCACAGACAGGAGGAATGCTGTTGAATATTGCACTTACAAAACATTAAAGTTGTTTTCCCTCAAAAGCCATTTGGGCATAGAATAATTATTTGTGTGACTGGGTACATGCAAGTCATTATTGCATATGTTATTTTACAACAAAGACATAAAACGCAATAAGATGCAACTTTAACAGTGTGTGTCAGTTCTGAATCATTTATTCTCTAGTAGTGGAGGATGGTTTTCATCTCTATAAACACAAACCCATCAGTATGACACCTGGTTGTTTAGGCCTTGTGACGTTTTTGAAAATGTCATGAAGAACCCTGAAGTACTGCATGATTCAACTCCATTCCATTTCTAGTAATGTAAATATCTCAACTCAGATTGATTGCTTCCAGAGTTTCTTCATCTCCCCCAATCTCTATGTCCTTCTTTATATTACTTTTAGAACTCAGCTAGGCTAAGATTCACAAGATACTGCACTTTGACCTTCCCTTGGCCAGTTGATTCAACAGTACCTTGTCTTCAGAAGACAATCTATCATTACCATGTTTTCTAGGCCTTTTTGTATGTTTTGCAGCATAAGATACTGTAAGCCCTCAACACACAGACATACAAAATGTCATGGTGCCCAGAGTGCAATATGACTCTGCTTAGCCCTAGAACCACTTTCAGCAGTCCAGCTATTCATGGAGACTTTGTATTTGACTCTATGTGCTGTGGCTGTACAGTAGCTGTCGCTGCACACAGCACACGTTTCAGTTTCACAGCCTCGTTGCCAGTGAAAACAGATTAAGTTATTGCACACACAGAACAGGTGTTTTGCCTCAAAGAGCAGCACTGTCAAAACTGAAACATTTCTGTTAACATAAACCATATGGCTTTTGTCTGGTACTACTCAATGTTGGGAAGCAAAACACCACAGGTGCTGGTATACACAGGTCTTTTCTTAAACCAGTGTAAAGGAAATGCAGAAAGCTGTACAGGAAGATATAACCTAGACATCATTGGAAAACAACACTGTAATATTATTTACATTATCACGTGTCAGTCAAATATTAGGATTGACAGTTACCTACAGCATACAGCTTCAGATGTAATGCCAATGTACTGTTTAATTGCTGTATATTTTTAATTGTAGAGCCTAATTTATCGCAGAAAATACACAACATGATTTTGTATAATTTTTGTACAGTTAATAAATCACAAGTTGTTTTTTTGCTTAGTCTTTTCTGTTGTTCTTTATAAAAAAACATTCAGTGGTTACTTCATAAAGGACACTGTTGTATAGAAAAACTACCTCATAAATTCCTTGCACTGTAATACCAGAGGCTATTGGCCTCTAACTCTTGCAGTTGCTAGGGGGAAAGGGGTTCAATATGGGTAGGTAACAGGGAGAACAAGGGGGAAAAAGAAAGATACAAATTAAAATGACACAGTTCAAGTGAATTTCAAAGAGATACATGCATTGCAGCCAAGAACCATGCCTGTACAAAGAACACTTTGTCTCTTGTGTAGAGCACATGGAAGTCTGAAAGAATGCTAGCTGCCCAAATGAGATTAGCTGAGTTGCCATCGTTTGCAGCATTAGAAGATTCTGAGTTTAAGCAAAAGTTGTCACTATAAATAACGAAATGTCTTTTTTATCATTTAACATAGATGCATTGAAGGAATTAAAAAAAAATTGAATATTGTTAAGACATTTACAACCTGCTCCATGAGTACTGAACATTATTACATAAAGTAATAATTTGCTTTAAATTATTTTCTTTTATGATTATTCATTACAAAACCAAAGCTGTCCTGTGATGAAAATGGCTCGCATAATCAAATCATTAGTTACAGTAATACTAACAGGGGCAGGTAATATACTGATGCACAAAAGAAATGCAAGACTAAAAATGAATGTATTTCATTATATATTGTAAGTATATATATATCAAACAAAACACAGAAAATAAGAATAAAATAATTAATAAAATAATAATAAAAATAGATCAAAGAATCAAGATATGTTTCAATACAAAACTTGACCCACTGTCAAAATGAAAGCATGTCAAAATTGAAACTGGATGTGAGCTCCCTGACACAATCCTCACAACATTAATGCAGATCTTAAATAATAGACTTTAATACCATTAATAGACCTGATAATACTCTATTCTGCCACTCCATCTGTGCAGTTGCAGCCAGAAATTGCAGGCTGGACAACTGTGATTGACAACAAGGCCTCAACACTGATTTCCTGAAGCAGTCATAATCCTAGCACTGTGTGTTCTTGCATCGTCCTTTGGAAAAGTGACACTTCTAAATTCTCTTCTAGGAAACAGAAACATCATGCATGACTACACTTAACTCAACAATGAAACTCAGAAACAGTTAAACTGGAATGATAATTTTAAAAAAAATCAAAGCTCACAGCTACCCACTGATAGATTTTTAAGCTAAAGTATTCATACTGTTACAATATTGTATTACATTTTGTGGATGTCTGGTTAATTTTTAAATCTGAATGTAAAAATAATCCAAGACATTATTTTAAAAGTAATGAAGAAATGATATATTTTTCATATAACAAAAAGGATGTGGTGCAGTGGGAGTGGAGCTAGGAGGGTCTTACTCATGTACCACCAGGGGGCAATGCTTAAGTTTTGAGGATACTGAGGTCAAGTGTTCGTGTGCCTTGCAGAACAGAAAGGAAAAATGAAATAACACTAAAGTGTCCACCTTCCCAGAAACCTGTAAATGGTTGTGTAAACTCTGCTTCAATAGACAACAGTATTCACCATGCAGAATTGCACTTATTTCTAACAATCTTTTTTAAAAACAAAAAACTCTTTGATGTAATTACTAGTATTGGACACATGACTTATACTATACTGTCGTTGCCATCTTACAAGATTAAGTACGTCTTTAATAAGAAGAACAGATTAAACTGTTTCTAACCTTTTTTCACTGCAGTATTTGTCTTACTGTGAGAAGTGACACAAATGCCACTATGTCTTGTTCAGTGCCTCTTTACCATATGAAGCATTTGACATTCATCCAATAAAAAAATAGAATCTATAGTTAGCTGATTTACAAATGTAAAGTTCCATAGTATTTCTACCTCCTCCATATTACAAATACTCTTAAGTTGAGCCCAGTTTACATCACACGTACAATAAAACTACTATTATTTTTTAGCTGTTACTCTTATCCACAGCCAACAATTTGTACAGCTGTGAATTTCACCACAGCTATCTGAGTGAAGTACGGGGTATAACAGGAGTGCCCCACCCAGAATTTGGGAACTCAACCTTCCAGCTCATTATATAGTTATAGCCACTCCTCTGCGGTGCTGCCAAAATGTTTAAATATTTGCAGTTAATTCACCAGCAAGATATTTTAATACCTAGCTATGACCGTGAAAATCATTGGTTTCTAATGTGCTCACAATATTCTTCAGGTCAGATACCAGTATGTGCAGATGCAAATCACAAAAGTGAAGCAATTAGTTCAAACCAGGAAATACACGATCTGGAATTACATTCAGCTAGAAAATATTAAGGGAATATATTGCTATTTTTTATGATAATGTTCCATTTAGCTATTTGATTCGGAACAGTTAGTATAAACAAGAGGTTAAATATGGTCTTAAAAATCT